ATTTTTCATTACGAGGAAGATTCATACAATGACCTCCGTGCTTCGCGTATTAGTCTCCTTACTTGTCCCTTATGTTTCTTGTTCTACTGAACGAAAAAAAAAAACGTCTCTAATACTGCTAGATGTTGCTTTTATTGGCTCATTAAGAACTTTTTTTTTTGTTATACCGCACACAAGCCCAGGGTATATTTTAACAGTATTTCTCATCCGGCCCTCCCACTCAGAAAGCAAGAACATGATTATAACTACAACTGTCAAAACAATAGGTAAATTATTAGGCGTGAAGCTATAAAATATTCTTGGATGTGTAAAGTTTCTTCTCTTTCACCTGCTTGTCATCCTTCCAAGTGCTCATATTGCTGTTAAGTGCGAAATCAAGAGGGTGGCTGAGGTGTAAACCCTAACTCCGCCTAACCTTGCCTGTGATTTACTTTTAAAACCACAATAATCGTGTTTTGCGGGTTGCTGAGATTAGTTTTATTTAATAGTAATAACTCCCGTAATAACTTCTGTAATAACTGGGTAGGTACCATGTAATGCATTTTCTCGGAGACAAGTCTAAACCAAAAAGGATAATTCAGGTTAAGACGACCCAACAAGGAATAAAAAAGCAGAAACCAGACGCACAAAACAAAATTGCGCAGAAGCCTAGCCTATGATTTAACACTTTTGTTTCAGAAGAAATTTTTGGGCTGCAATTAGCGAAATTTTAAGAATATGTTAAGAATATACCCGAGGTTTTGAATTTGATGATGTTTCGATGGAAAATTAAAAGCAGTAAAATAACATGTTTTTAAATGAACTTTATTTTACAAATGAAAAGTATGGTAAATTTCTTCTTTTTACTAACAAAGCAAGCTCAGAACAAAACGATTAAAACTTATCTACGTATAAGGCAAGGCGATAAAGCACGTGCACAATGTAACACGATACAAGCACTATACAGTTCTATTTGATGGGAAAATTCCTGGAGCGATTTTATTTAACTGAAATACATGCAGGGTTAAGATTGTACACACTGAAGAATATTTCAGCCTAAAGTCTGCAGAAAAAATGAGAATATTCAACCTGGCCATCAAAAGAAGAGTGTAGTTCAAGTTTGAAGAGTTGAACGTTCCCCAGAAACTTGAAAGTTTGTGCCATGCTCTCGAACAAGGAGAGTGGCTTTTTCCACTCAGTGTAAAAAAACAGACGTTTCCAAATTATCGGAGTACCATGGAGAATTTCACAATGGAGAACACCCAATGAACCCGGAATGGACTAGGAGAGTACATCTGGCTGTTTACTGCTATGGAAACACACGTTTTGCGTCCGGTTACCCCGGTAGCGTACAGGAACAGATATAACTGATTCGCACGCAGCTTTAGCGAAAAAGCCAGCTCGAAGTCGATTGAACACGTGAGAACAGGCTCATAGTGCTTAGATCTAGCATAACAATATCGTAATTAAAGATAAACTGACTTCTATCCAAAGCGCAATAAATAGAAAATATCGATGATCCTCTCCAATATATAAACAAAATCGAAATATTATGCTTCATTAGGGCGGTGACACTAAGATAATTGCTGCTTCAGTTGAAAAATCAACAATGTATTTTGCTTCCGGAGCTCACAAGAAAATCGCCGGGAACGATTCGATAAGAAAATTACCAAGCAATTGGAAATAATTGCTGGATTGAGCACCACGATTGTTTTTCTCGCCAACGAAAGACTCCAACTTTGTCACATGGCGTTTGCCGTTTGTACGGAAAAGTGAGTAGTTACGCGTTTGCCGTGAAAATGTAAATAGCTTTCATTTTTTTTTCTTGTATTATTTACTAATTCCACGGAATGTAAACGTACTATTAATGGCCTGAATGCTCTGGGTTTCGTTACACCTTCTTCACCGTGTCGAAAATCAGATGAATACATTCTTGGCACGAAACCTCTTGCATTTGCCAAAAAACGCAAACTTTCAATAATCATTCTGATATCAAATAAGAAAAGGTTGGCCCGAGAATAAAAATCACGTAATTTAAACCTCCTTGGCTGAACATCCTGAGAAAAAAATATTTTTTTTACATCGCTGAAGTAAAGTCTTTTTGAACGAAAATTTAACTGCTAAAAATAGATTTAAGAATAATTTACTCCTCGTTTTAATATCCGCACCAACACTTAAACACTTTGCACTGTGCTCCGGTGAAAGTTTATGTCATCTTCGTTTCGACTCCTCTATATAAAAGTTCCACGTTTTCCTGCGATATTTTAAAGGATTTTTTTTGCTGTTGTGAAATTTCTAAAGAGAATTTTTCGTTTTTCAGGCCAACCTTGTGGTTCCTCACTAGCACCTTTTCACAAACAAAGCGACGTGTTTCTATGCAACCACTTGTTCCCTTCAGAGCATATCCTTTACACGGCAAATAAACTTTTAATTATAAAGCTGCAGGAATCTCCTGAGAAGTCAATTTTAAATCTAATGTGGTTGCGACCAAAAAATGTCATTTTACAAAAAAGGCACCAGAAACCGCGGACGCGTACGGCTGCTAAAATGAATCTCTCGACCGCAAATTAACTGCTGATTTTGACATAAAATTAACACCCCTAACACGAAACGAAATTAAAAAGCTTGACAATAAACAAGCGATAAGCATTCTCAATCAACATGCACCTGTTCGCATTCAAATCAAAGATGCAAAATTTTGCTCTGAATCAATAAGAAAACATTTGGTTTCCTTGACATTGAACAGCGTCTTCATTACGCATTGAGCACAGGTCTCGCACCTTTGATATAAGCTCGTGGTAAATTCCTTTAAGTGATTAACCAGTCCAGGTGAACAAATGCTAAATTAGAAAACTCGGTAAACATCACTGAGGAAACAGCAGTTTCAAGTCATTACTTCGTTCACGCGTCGATCGATGAGTTAGAAAGATTGCAGCTCCGTTTAAAATGGCCACAGCAGAACAAGAAATACTTTCTCTTGAGCTGCAGGAACGCAAAGATGGTTTACTTGTGTTGGAAAGTGGTTTAATGATGATCATCAACTTTCTGGCCTTCACTGGTAACGTGATGGTTTGCTGGGCTGTATACCGTAACCAAAGACTTCGCACTTTACCAAACATCTATGTAGTGACCTTGGCCATATCAGATGCTCTCATGGCGGTCCTGTGCATGCCTATGTCTGTAGTTCTTCTCGTTACAGGCCAGTGGCCATTCGGCGAGTCTGCCTGCCATTTCCAGGGATTTTTTTGTTTCTTCTTTGCGCTTTACTCTTTGCTACTCATGACTGCAACCGCAGTGAACCGATATTTTCACGTGGTGAAACCAAATCTTTACCGTAAGCATTTCAAAGTCAGATCCACTTTTCTTTCCGTCATTGTTATTACACTTTTCGCTGCTCTCGGTGCGGGGCTTTCATCGATGGCTCAATGGGCGACATTTATCGTACATTACGGTAAAGTTATCTGTTTTATGAACTTCAAATCCCCGGAACTTGACATGGGTTACATCGCATATTTAGATGTGTTTTACATCGCTATTCCTATCGGAATTATTTCCTTCGCGTATTACAACATTTTTAACACTATCAAAAAACACAATCAAGAGATGAACAACGCGAGAAGAGGATCGATTCTTCCCTTGAACGTGGAAGAAGTGAAAATAACAAAGGTACTATTTGCATCTGTACTGGGCTTCATTCTTTGCTGGGGACCTATCGCTGTTATAGACCAAGTTGATTCGTACACGGGGCAAAAAGCCGTTATTCCACGGCAGGTCTTCTTGTTATACATATATCTCGGCTTTGGAAGTTGCTCCCTCAACCCTTTCATATATGGCGTCATGAATAAAGCCTTCAGATCGGAGTTCCTGCGAGTGCTAGCTTTCTGGAGGAAAAACAGGGAGGTTGTTCCAAATGACACTTTAAGCGAGCGCCAAACAGCGGTTTCAAAGTGACACGATAAAACGTACCGAGGGAGTTTGATATTAAGAAATTACGTTTTTGAACGATGCTATTGACGAAAATAATTATTTTAACTGCCGCTTTCAAATGCATTTCCAAAGACGACATATACATTAAATAATTTATAAAAAGTATACTGACCGTAGAAACGTAAAAACAAAGATATATTGCTTTACTGTGTACTTGTTTATTGGCATGTTTACGTTACAGCTATTCCTTTTGTTTGTTTAAAGATTTCCTCTCTTAGTTTTATGTAATCGAAAGCTGCTTGAGCTATCTGTATTAGCAAAGAATAAGCAAAAAATGAAAGGAAAAAAACCGGCTGATAGTATATAACTATTACAGAGCGAACGACTTAAACCATTACGTTACAATGATAGATACCTGCGCACATTTCACAAAGTAAGAATAAGTGACCATTATTCCAGTGAATTATTTGCCTCCTATCTCTGTAAACTCTTATTTCGTCAACGAGGAAAGATATTTGCAGGGTTCGTTTAGTTCTGGCGGGCATCGTTATTCCACTTCCCCTTAACAATCAATCTGTTCAAACCGGGATAATCAAGGTTGGATTTAAATTTTACTATTGTAAATAGCTATAGGGTTTTTTTTTTTTTTTTTTTTAATTTAACTCGTTTTTGTTATGTCCCCGTATTAGTAGGGGAGTTTTTCCCCAGCTAGGTGGTTGATGACATTCTTAATAAAGTTTCTATCTATCTATCTATCTATCTATTTTTAGCTATGGTTAATAATGATGATAAGAGACACTGGTAACATTTAGTGGGAGTAAAATAAAGACAACAATAACATCTTAATAACCCGGCATTCAGCTGTTCTAAAACACTTTTCCGCATAATAAATAACTCGAGTTTTTTTTCAAAGTCAAGAACCAGACCGTATATCTATTACTTTTTAACGGGTATAAATCTACGTACCACGCCAAGGTATAAAGCTGTAGTTATTTGTGCACGCAGGTGTGTTCGACATTTCTCTCGTATTCTGAAAGACTCGTCACGTTTTTTTTGACAGTACTATACAATGAATTTGACTTCTTCACAATTCAAAGTAACTATTCCGTCACTTGAGTCACCGATAAAGGAATGAGACATGGTTGTCACAGCGCGAAAACACCTTAAGTCAAACCGAATGTTTTTTCTTGCGAGCAGTTTTGGAATCATGTTGCATGCAGTGCAATGATCCAGTAGCAGTTTGCAAATTCAATTCAACAACAACAACAACAACAACAATCATTATTCTACCCCAGAGGCAGACGTTTTTAAAATTTAATAGCCAAATATTAGGGGTAGTGACCTCCTAAAATAATCCGTATGCTTACAGTTCGAAGTTCCAGGCAGCCAGAGAAAAGATATTTTACGTCTTCAGGTCGGGCACACAGACAAACACAGACACAGTCGCAAAAATAGGACTAACCGGCAGTGTTCAGCTAGCTACCAGTAAAGCAATGTCCAAAATTTAATTTAAATTTGCGCGACGAAGTTGCCAGCCGCTATTTGCGTCTTGATCAGTTCTGCCGGGTTATCATTTGTACTGGGTTGGTCAAAGATTATGTGCGTTGTGTAGCAAGTTAAAGGAAAATTTCTCAACAGAGTGATTAGTGTCGTAAAAAAACCCCGTCCATACCGGTTTCAGAATGACTCAGAAACCTAGGAAAGATGGCTTCAGGGAGTTAAAATCCAAAACAATTCCACTCGGCCAGGCTGCCTCCTGTGAAGGAGGCAGCGTGGCCGAGTGGTTTAGGGCGCTGTAGTTGTAATTCGGAGGTCCAGGGTTCAAGGCCTCCATTCGGTAGTTCCGAGTTCAAATCCTCGGTCACGCTTTGGAAATAGCCAACTGGTTTGCCTCCTACCAGTTGGGATTTTTAACTATGTTACGTTTATTTCAAATATTTGTTTCCTTTCCTTCAGTGGCATGCCTGTAAACTAGCTAAGCTTAGTGCTTGTATAGCTAAGTGCATGACCACTGTAAATAAGATTTACATTTACATTTACATTTTATGGTCCCGGACCCCTCTAAAAGCTCAAACCTTCGTCGCTCGTTGTTTCGGAAATCGGTCGCCACTTACCCTAGATCGAGTCTGCTAAACGTACTTTGTTCTGTTACAGGAGGTGAAGCGAGGAGAGCTATCAAGAAGTAAATTAAAGAAGCTAAGTCACGGTATTTTGAGTCATTTTGGTCACGTATACAATTGCCTATAAATTGATCTGAAGCAAACCTGAAAATCATAGTTCCTTTAGATAGAAGCACACTAAAGAGAAAAAAATAAACCACAAAGAAACAAGGATGGTTAATGATGGAGAAGATTGACACGGATTACAAACGACGAACTTGAAAAATTTTAGGTAAACTTTTCGAGATGCACAAAGTGCTTGCCTATGGCTTTTTTTGTTGGCGGGCTAACGGTTCTATTTGTAAGTTTTGACCTTGAAAAGACGTTCCGCACTAAAACTTCTTAAGGATAAAACAGAAACTAAGTCTGCCGTTATAATTATGCAAAATTGACTTGTAACGTTATCCCGACCTAAGCCAAACATCCTTGTTGGGAAATGAGTTCTCAAAACATTGACTCGCTTTTATTGACGAAATGCTGTCGCTGACAAGAAACTACGTTCAGTAATTACTTTCTTTATTTCACTGACATTTATTTTGTTTTATTCGGTCATAATTAAAGGAAAACATTCGCATTCCAATTTGCAAAGCATACCTAAAATGAAATCTCCATCCGGAAGAAAAATGAGAGAAATGATTACATTGAAATATGTTTGGTCGAAATCCGGAGAAATATATCAGTTGATTTATCTGACGCGGGTTTGGTGGATTATAGCGTTTCGTATGTAGGAGGAAGCGGCAAGCCCTCTTCGGCAAAAAACGTTAGCAGATAAAATTTGTTTTTGACAAGTTCATTTATTATAATATAGAAAAGGCTGAATAACTAATGTACAAGTTAGTCCTATTTTTGCGACTGTGTCTGTGTTTGTCTGTACAACGTACAGATCCACTGACCTTACTTGACATAATTTAACAAATAGGTTCCAAGTCGCCGTACGTCTGTTCAGTAATAGATCACAGACGAAGTCAAAATGTGGTAAGAACAAAAAAGTGGCACACGAGGCGATTGCCGAGTGCGTCACTGATGTTCTCACCACATTTTGACGTCTTCTGTGATCTGTAAGGGAACATAAGCATCGACGACGACGACGGCGACGCCGAAGACGACGCCAAGTCAAAAATGAATTTATATTTTACCAGCGAAATTCGCAATTGTCTAGATCTGTTCAGTACGCCAATGTGTGTAAAAACGTGCTCAGGCCAAATATGCAACGACAGCGTTCAATTCCAAATGGAAATACGAAAAATTAGTCGTCGTCGTTCGCGTTCTTCGGACTACGCAGGACTTGGTCATTTCACGTTCTTGTTTTGCAGAGGACGGCAAAGAAATGTACAAAGATTTAAAACGCACGTGCACAGCTATAGTTTCGCTCATTAAACCTTTTGTTTGGTAGCGTTCTCGTTGCCGGCGTCGTCGTGGTTTGCTCAAGTTCCCTATTACTGAACAGACACATGGCAACATGGAATCTATTTTTTTTTTACATAATAAAGACACAAAAAAGGTTTATGACGGCATCTATGCGCCTGTCCTTCAACTGATCAGTAAGACTTAGAGCCAATTCAAATCCGACAACAATTCGACTTAGTATATAATGGGTATTTGATTGCATATTTTCCGAGCATACAAAGAAAGGAAGCAATAAATTCCGTGTATTTTTCAAGTCTATGTATGTGAGAAGATACAAACAACAGAATTTTATTTCTACGTTGGTAATCTTGGGCAGAAAATATAAGATCATGGTACTACCGGTAAAGAATTAAAAACAATATTTTCATTGACTTTTTTTCCATTTTGATAAATAAACAAATTAAGAAATACAACCGGCCAGGTAACAATTTATTTTCACTAACCATAATAAGAGGGCTGATACCCCTTACCGCGACCTTGATTATTCTGGATATCACAAAAACCGAATCTAATAATCCTGTTATGATATACATTGAACGAAAATACAAAATGGAAGTCATGTTTTTGCTTCTTCACTGACGGTAAGCAACACAAAGCGCGCGAACTTGACACGACTACCCTTAGAAATCATGCACCGCGGTCATACATAACATGATTACCCGTGACCTTGAGTGTCCTTGACATGATCATTGTATAATCTGTAGCTAGATGACGTCACAGGCGCTGATTTCGAAAATTCACTGTACGCTTTCGGCTTATCAGAAAAGAGATCGTGAGTTCAATGTATAATAAAAGAATTTATAAGAGAAGGCTTTAGCGCCTCTAGGCAAATCGATTTAAGGTGTCTCTTTAATTACCACTATGAACTCTAAATATGACCAGCTCCTAGCAAAATTGACAGCCTACGGAGACGGAACAACTTTCAAGAACTTTCATAACAATTAATTTTGGCAATGTTAAGATAAAATTCAGATTACTGGAGTTTTCCCGAAGTCTTGAAAAAAAAACAACATTTATTTCGCTTCCAGGATGCTAAATTCCCTGACTTTTCCCGACCATAAAAGATAAGAAATGTTTTCCCCTAAAGTCAGGTCTCTTGCCTGAAAGTCTACACCCAACTTGTGCGCATGTGTCGTCTTGTCTCAGTTGTTTACTGTTGAATGGTTAGTTTGAAGTGTAAAAGACCGATCGAAAGGAACAACTTCGTTCTTTTTTCTCCACAAAGTTAACACTTTCACGAACTCTGATCTGAAGGCTTTATTCATAACGCCATATATGAAGGGGTTAATGGAACAACTTCCAAAGCCGAGGTATATGTACAGCAAGAAGACCTGCCGTGGAATAACGACTTTTTGCCCCGTGTACGAATCAACTTGGTCAATAATGGCGATAGGTCCCCAACAAAGAATAAAGCCCAGTACAGATGCAAATAGTACCTTTGTTATTTTCACTTCTTCCACGTTCAAGGGAAGAATTGACCCTCTTCTCGCGTTGTTCATCTCTTGATTGTGTTTTCCGATAGTTTTAAAAATGTTGTAATACGCGAAGGAAATGATTCCGATAGGAATAGCGATGTAAAAAACATCTAAATATGCGATGTAACCCATGTCCAGCTCCGGGGATTTGAAGTTCATAAAACAGATAACTTTACCGTAATGTACGATAAATGTCGCCCATTGAGCCATCGATGAAAGCCCCGCACCGAGAGCAGCGAAAAGTGTGATAACAACGACGGAAAGAAAAGTAGATTTGACTTTGAAATGCTTGCGGTAAAGATTTGGTTTCACCACGTGAAAATATCGGTTCACTGCGGTTGCAGTCATGAGTAGCAAGGAGTAGAGCGCAAAGAAGAAACAAAAAAATCCCTGGAAATGGCAGGCAGCCTCGCCGAATGGCCAGTGGCCTGTAACGAGAAGAACTACAGACATAGGCATGCACAGGACCGCCATGAGAGCATCTGATATGGCTAAGGTCACTACATAGATGTTTGGTAAAGTGCGAAGTCTTTGGTTACGGTATACAGCCCAGCAAACCATCACGTTACCAGTGAAGGCCAGAAAGTTGATGATCATCATCAAACCACTTTCCAACACAACCAAACCATCTTTGCGTTCCTGCAGCTCTCGAGAAAGTATTTCTTGTTCTGCTGTTGCCATTTTGACCGGAAAGAAATTAGTTTCATGGTCTGCAATTTTACCGTGAGGGAAGTAATGGCTTTAAGCGAAGGTAACCGATGTTTAAAGCCTGATTCTACAGCCCGATTTGAATAAATTACGTAGAGTACTTTCTATTTTTTTCATCATTAAGGGACCTTAAGCGCGAAACAACACGTATTTCCCTTTATTCTTAATGATAATTAAGTATAGGAAACGTACTTTTAGCAGTTTAAAATTAGAAGCTTTTTTCTTAATTGCTTTCACTGTCAATTTCGTCCACAGGTCGACACATTTCCTGTTTGACTTGGCAGAATAGTTCCTTTGAATGTCAACTTGGAACATTTCGATAATTACGATTCGGAAATTCTTAAAGTTACTTTAGCATGTACAAAAATCAAACACAAATCAGGGCGCTGGCCATTGTTTACAATGCTATGGCACAACGGAACAATAACTGTCATTGATATTAGCTTTTATTGACTTAGAGTTGAGGCAAATTAAATGCTTGTCACGTAAATGTCATATATAACACTCTCTCACATAGCTCATTGAATTCTCGTATTCAGAATGGATGTAAGCTTTTTAATTTGACATACTGGCGTAACAACGGAACATGTCGGTACCCCAGCCGTTAGAGATTTACGTATCACTCACAAACGAAATTACATTATATTTTTTTCTGTCACCCACTCACTCCTAAATTCAGTTCTACTTTAATTTTCACTCAAAAAAATCGGGATAAAACTCATCACTCCGAAAAGTGAGTTAGAGTGTGATATTGAACACATTTTGGAGAGATATGTGGTAACGTTTCATTGCTACTAAAATCAAGCCGGAATTCTCGTATCAAGTAATCCGTGTTCTTATTTATTTGTTAGATTCCGATCAACATTTGTTACACTTTCAAATGTACATATAACTTAGCAAAAAGTCAAAAGGAAACTGAAAGTTCTACAAGACATCAACGCCGTCAAAACCCTCACAAAAGGAATGAAGGAAAGAAAGTCAAACTAATTGACTGAAGAGGACAGCACTTATCTGTAAGATGAGAAACGTGACTTTATAGACGAAATGAGCCTACACTAAGATGTTGACTAAAAGCATGAAGCCGATAAGAGAGTAGACAAATGCATTACGAAATCATTGCTTCCGCTAAACATGGATAAAGGAGTGGTTCGTTTTCCTTCGGCTTCTTTTATGCCAATTCCCCGCGGGAGTAATTTTCACTAGCGAGATTTCGTAGTTCAGTCATATCCTATTGATTTAGTCAGAGAGAATGTGTCATTATATTTTGTTCCAGAAGGGCAGATATCATTACTCCGAGGATTTCCGAAAATTACCCGAGGACTTCCGAACATTTCATAGAAGACGTGAAAACTTTCTAGGATTACTCACCGTAGTAAGTATAGGCCCTTTCTAGACTTCCCAATTTGGCCGCGCAGTCAAGTAATTTGGAAGCGGTATTTGACTTTGAAGCATAATCCGATAAGAGAGTTGAAAAATGTAATAGGGAATCACTGCTTCCGCTAAACTTGGATAAAGGACTTTATGGTTCTACTTCGGCTTCTTTTATCGATACCAATTTCCCGCGGGAGTAATTTTCATTGCGAGTGAGATTTCGTAACATTCAATTCAGTCTTATCTTAGTGAGATAGTCAGAGAGAATGTGTCGTAGGTTTTCGTTCGTGAAGGACAGGTATCATTAGTCCCACGAGGATTTCCGAAAATTACCCGAGGGTTTCCGAAGATTCCGTAGATAACTCGAAGACATTCAAGGATAGCCGAAGATGAGCAAAAGATCTCTGAAGCCGCAGCATAGTAAGAAAAGACATCTTCTAGTCACAAGATCTCTTGATTAGGCCGTGCGGTAACGTACCCGCGACAGTGAGGCCTCTAAATCGTTCACGATCGTCGGTAAATGCTGCAGTAAGTTTTTGGCCTTTTCTTGCATCAAACTGGTTTCATAGTTCGGTTTCGTCAGTACATAGTTTTAACAATGGTCAGTAGTATCAAACTAAAGTATCAAGTACTCACAGTAAAGACATATACAACAAAGTAAAATGAACTGAATGAGTCGTAACAAACTTGGGACGTCAGTTCCCAAACACAAAAGTAAAAGAGCTAAATGATGTGTAAGCTGGTTTGTTAGGCTATCTAAAACGATATAATATTCATCACGTCAAGAGCATGTAGCAAAGTCTGGGCACCCCATAAGATTCAAACCTACGACCTCCCAGACTGCACCGTGCGGGCGCTTTCCCCTCTGAGCTAGCGACAGAGAGACTTGTGCCTAGGGCATTTGCTAGGTTCATATGCGACACGCGTCCTGCATGCTGTTGGGATCAGCAATATCGAGGAAGTACTACTCAACTGTTCAAATGTTGCTGTTTTCAGTGGTCAATGCGCTTAGCTACACCTAGCTAGTTCAACTAAACATAATAAGCTTAAAAGGCTCAAATGGCGGGAGGCAGACCAGTTGGTTATTTACAAGCATGACCAAGGAATTGAACTAGAGTCTACAGAGAAACAACTCCAGCTAAGTGGTCAGAGCGGGACTTGAACCCGCGACCTCCGGATTTCAAGCCCGGCGCCCTAACCTCTCGGCCACACTGCCTCCATGGTGATAAATTAAGAAAGATGGTAGATTTTAAACTCTGTAGTGAAATGAGAAAGAAGTACAATGTTGATCATGTCACGACCGCCGGACAAACAAACATATATAAGTCCATGATACTTGAATCACCTGGGTTTGTCATACAAAGGGAATTTAATTTCGTTTTTTGTTTTGAAAATTGTCATCATTTTAATTACTAGAAACACGAGTTCGAGGTGTCTGTAATGACACTAGTGATTAACAAAGCGGTTTGATGTGTGGGCGGCGAATAGTTTTGTTTCATGTTTTCATTCATTTCACAGAGCAAAAAGAACATACTCTGACAATAGCAAACGCTTTGCAAAAAATAATTTGCAAAAAAATATATGCTTTCACTTTGTGTACCGATACGAAATGCGGAAATAAGCAACTTTGGTCATTCAAACGAGAGTAATTTACCCCAGCGCACACCTGCTCAGCAAAAATCAAACATGCAAAATTGCCATCCAAAAATAGAAAAAGGTGGTTCCCTTGTTTTCAAATTATTGTTTTATAACTCTCTGCGAGATCTAGCAGCTCTTGATTACGAGAAATTACTCTTGTGCTGAATGGAATACGCGTAACAAAGGTTAAATTGAACCAAATCGACATCAACACAATCTGCGCAAATAGGGGTGACAGGGAAGCGATTACTGCGTTCGCTGACACTGAAAGCTTTTCAAATCAAAATGTCAGCAGAAGGGGAGGAAAATCTTTTTCGAAAGCTGCAGGAACGCAAAGATGGTTTACTTGTGTTGGAAAGTGGTTTAATGATGATCATCAACTTTCTGGCCTTCACTGGTAACATGATGGTTTGCTGGGCTGTATACCGTAACCAAAGACTTCGTACTTTACCAAACATCTATGTAGTGACCTTAGCCATATCAGATGCTCTCATGGCGGTCCTGTGCATGCCTATGTCTGGAGTTCTTCTCGTTACAGGCCAGTGGCCATTCAGCGGCGCTGTCTGCCATTTCCAGGGATTTTTTTGTTTCTTCTTTGCGCTCTACTCCTTGCTACTCATGACTGCAACAGCAGTGAACCGATATTTTCGCGTGGTGAAACCAAATCTTTACCGCAAGCATTTCAAAGTCAAATCTACTTTTCTTTCCGTCGTTGTTATTACACTTTTCGCTGCTCTCGGTGCGGGGCTTTCATCGATGGCTCAATGGGCGACATTTATCATACATTACGGTAAAGTAATCTGTTTTATGAACTTCAAATCCCCAGAACTGGACATGGGTTACATCGCATATTTAGATGTGTTTTACATCGCTATTCCCATCGGAATTATTTCGTTCACCTATTACAAGATTTTCAAAAACATCAAACAACACAATCGAGGCATGAACAACACAAGACAAGGATCGATTCTTCGCTTAAACGTGGAAGAAGTTAAGATAACAAAATCACTATTTGCAGCTGTGCTAGGCTTTATTATTTGCTGGGGACCTATAGCTGTTATTGACTTAGTTGATTCCTACAGCAGACACCATCTCGCTATACCAAGACAGATCTTTCTGTTATACATATACCTCGGTTTTGGCAGTTGTTCCATTAACCCTGTCATATATGGCGTCATGAACAGAGCCTTCAGAGCGGAGTTCTTGAGACTGTTAACTTTCTGGAGAAGGCACAACGAAGTAGATCTCGTTCGTTCTTTTACGGTTCAAAGCTGTCAAAGTGAAAACTGAAATACAGTCTACTTCAAAGTGAAATAGAGACAGCAACATAAAAGAACAAACAATGTTTGTCGGTCTTCATTTTTCTTTCCCCGAAAAAGTTCTAAATGCATTATATATCTCCTGCATTACATTTCAGAGTTAATATACGCGCCAAATGTTAGTACTCTTTGGCAGAATGTGTAATTTTCTTGCTTACTACGGTAATTCTCTTATAATTTCTACATCACTTGCTTAATTTCCTTCGCAGTTTTCGGCTACTGCGGTTAAACACAGTTCAATTTTAATTCACGAAAAAATGTTTTAGACATAACCTTTCTCCAAAATAATTGACTGACAACTTCTTCTTTCGTTTGCTTTAGTGTTTTTATGTTTCCTTTTCAATGTGGTCTATTTGCTCGCTGCAAATATACAATTGTGGATAGAAATCTTTTTAATATCACAATATTGGAATAGTGTAAACACACACTATTGTGGTAACAAATTCTTTAAAATTAAAAATGAATCGAAAGCAGTCACTCATCCTTGACGAAGCGGAGTTAAAACTGGTCTCTGGAATATATTTTTACCTTGTTTAGTTAAAAGCAATTTTGAACGTATTGCACTAGTGTTATCTATGAAACAGTGTAATTAATGCATGTCCGCCCCAGGGCATTTTAAAATAAATATTCAAAACGTTAACGCTATCCTTGGTTTGAAAGAAAAGGAAGAAAGTTTTAGACCATGACAAAAAGTAGTCCAGTTCTTGTTTATATATCGGCGAGATCTTTACAGAGAATAATCATTTTAATAGAAAAAGACTCAATTAACGGAGGACGCAACAATTTGTTATTTTCGCATTCATTCGGTAATATTTAGTGACAAGCATTAGTCATTCCAGGGTTGTAAAACATTAAAATACTCAATATATGCTTTAACAGTTTCAAGCTCTTATTACGTCAGACCAGCGTATTCAACATTCTTTCATAGAAATGTATCATAGGCCGAAAAACTGAAGATGGTGTCCTCCAAATCGTTCAGTACACACGCTAAAAGATGCACAACCATTAAATTCATGTTATAAAACTGGGGAATAACTTCTTGAACAATACGAGCCACAGGAAACTATGAAGTTAATTTACAAGAAAAATCGCTTGGTTTCAGGGGGTCATAATTCAATAAGCGTAACAAAAAAAAAATCATAAATAATTAAGCCGTATATGTAATTTTTATTTTCGTTAATTGGGTGGCAAAATTTATCCTCACTCAATTTCCGCAAATTAAACTTGACACAGCGGAAACAGCACTCGGCAAATTAACATTCAAACATGAAGTGAGACTGAGCTAATTTTAACAGATAATTACGCAAGGAAGTTTGCTGTTTAGAGAGAAAAAAATGTTACCTTGAGGGCTTGTGTGGTACATGTAGCTTTCTTTTTTTTGAGGAAATTTCTAAGGGAGATTATTGGTCGACAATTACGCGAGAAAATCCTCCAGACTTCTCGTTTCTATTGTTTAAAATCAAACTGTTTCCTGCGTTCTAAACAGCAACCATCGTCTCTTACACCAGCCTATTCTCGCTCCCCAAACCACCTGTCGTTCGTAGCCGGCGGGGGCTTGGCACGAGGAAAATATAGCTCTGGGGACAGAGATGATTTGATTGGCTAAATAGATACTTTGAATAAGATTTTCCCTAATTTACCGTTAGCTTTCTTTCCGAAAGTAACGCTGGTTGATCTCTGACGAAAACCGATTGATCAAAACAGCTATACAGACCTTCAGGAAGTTCAAGCTACCTTACGGCAAGAAATGTCAGTGAAGTCCTCCATTAACAGACATGTAAATACCACTCTTACTTCTGCCTAAAATTCCTTTTCTTAAAATCTGTTTCGGTTGGAGATAAACCAGTGAACAAATTTCGCCCGCCCGCTTTTTCGATCGTCTCCACTGACAGCGTGAGAGCCTGGAACAGGCTATTTGATACAACACGAGTTTGCATATTGAACGCGGGAAAACACGGTGTAGGCTACTGTACCTTCAGTAACGGCTTGTCCGGCAATGGAGTAGATTCTCATGGCCAAAGCGAAGTCTTCCAAATTGTTAAGGAACATCCCAAAACTAAGAAACTGCTCCAGAGTAATGCCCTACAAAAACAAGATGTAAATGCAGGAAAACCCTACAGCTCAAGACTATTGACCACTTGAAAAGACAGCCTTCTTTTGTATGACAGCGCTCGAAACACGACCACATGCTTTAATCAGGGCGTCTTTGCTGTCTGACCTGTCTATTAGACAACAAGTCCACAAAGCAGAAGCAAGGAATTCCAGCTTCAGTTGATTACGCTGACCAGCTTTTACAGCGTCATTTTAGTGTGATAAAACATGCCAACTTAAAATTAAGGTCATATTTTCTTCTGCTCTGCAAAATTTGATATGTTTCATTTCCTAAGTGGCGCCGTGGTTACCGTACTTACATATGTAGCCATATTCTGCATCCGGCAAGTAACTCGCAAACATTGTATAACAACTTTTATACATACAACGACAGCGCCTGTATTCATATAATTCAGCATTTTTACCCCAAACAATTGAACTAGAGGTTCTCACCTTTCTTTGCCTAAGTCGGCTACAAAGTCTGTCTAAGTATTTTTGGATTTCTTCCTCCTCCAGCGAAGTGTTTCTCAACAACAAACGACCAAAACTGTCTTCTGGGATGGTCGGCATTCCTCTTGAATATTCCATAAAGTGGGCTGAGTTAAGAAAATCTAATTTCATCTCCAGCTTACCTTTTTCAAGGTTAAACCTAGCCAACATTTGGCCTATGGTTTATACTTGTTGTTCTTTTTCAAAAACTCTAGTATCAGTAATATAAAATCATTTGATTGTCTTGTTTCAGAAAATGATGTTTTCAATTTCTTACAAAGACAATACTAGAAGGGACAGTATCTGTCTTCTCACAGCTCAACTGCCATGGATGTTTTTTTTATGTAAAGGATATCTCCATTTCAAAGACTTCCAACTGAAAATCTTGCATGAACCTGTGTATGCAAGAAAAAATAAAAAATAGATTAATGATGCATACTTTGAAAAGTAATCACAACCCGGTCTTGCATTTTAATAATGGCTTATATCATAGCAAAGGAAAATCTGATTATGGATGAATCTACAGTGTAAGAACAGAAAGTAAAACAAAGTTTCTGTTGATAGTCATGTCCTCTGTATGACCTCTGCCCAGTATAGTTCTCAACAAATGATGAGCATTGCATATACATGTACATACTGTAGAAGTCTGCATATTATAAACATTAATTATTATCTTTATTATTATTATTATTATTATTATTATGATCATCATCATCATTATTATTGTTGTTGTTGTTGTTGTAGTTTTTAGTGAAGAATTACCATTGGAAAACAACATTGTGGTGTAATCATAGGTCTGCAATGCACGCAGAGACTATTAGATAATTTCTGTTTCATGTACATGTAACTTTAATGAACACGTATTTTCAACACTTAATGGCTTGTCTCAAGACTAATAAGTTACATACTTGGAGAATTGGCTGAAAGTTAGTTGACCAGTTCCTCTGGAGCCAAAGAAGTGCATTTTTAGTGTGGTATTGTTGCGGCAATCACCGTTTTCCTTTTCACTTTCTCGCAAGGCCTGAAATAAATACGAAAAAACCAACTGATTTACAAAGGAATCTTCGGCGCAAAAATTGAGAATTGGTTGATCAAGAATGACAATTATATGCAGGTCTTTTTTTTTCTCACCATGGATTTTGCTGATGATTTTTTATTGACCATCTCCTCAAGCTGTAGATAAAACAGAGAACTGAAAGATTACTTTTGGTCGTTTATTGTATTCTGTAATTTGGAACAGTTTTCAACTGGGTGTCATAAAACCAAAACCAAAGTTATCACTCTGGCCAATCACAAAGGTGGCAGACAATCCAATGACCCAGTCAAAACTTGTATTAAATACATGTAGCTGATGTGAAGCATGAAAAACATGCGAGATTGAGCCACGATAGCTTTTGGTTTTACTTATGATTGGGTGAAAAAGTGGTGTGTACAGGTAGTAATGCAAAACCAATTACTTTTCGATAGCCAAGTGAGAGCTGCTCTACATTATCAATATTCTTAGTAATTACTTGTTCACGATAATATTTTGCTCACTGTAACTTTTCTAGAGATTACCCCAAATACATTAAAATGACATTATCAGAATAATACAATAAATCCATATTTAAACTCATCGCCAACTGATGAGCTTGGGAAAGGTGCCTTAGGGATGGTGGAGCCGACATATGAGCCTCGAACAGAGCATGCAGGTATCCATTGGCAACCCTGAGAGCGGCAACCACCAGGCACCGTCACACTGACAGAGTCAGTGGAGATACTTACCACCCCATATACTTACCGTCACCAGCGAAAGGGAGGGGTCCAGGTGAGGGAGCAAAAGCACGCTACATGCATGAATGGCCATCAAGGCAAACTGCATGTTCTCACACAGCTGGTAAGCAAAACATGTATGCCCTGCAAAGCCCCGTATGAGACCCCAACGAGCGTGGTCTCCCTCAGAGACAGCTGGCCAGCATTTGCTCGACTTGAACTTTGCCTAAATTACATTTAGCCACATGTAAATAATATTATAGATGATTACTGACTTACCACAAAAAACTCATCCTTAGTAAGCCGACCATTCCCATCCTTGTCTAACATCTTAAAAGCAATTTCCAGGCCTCTTTTTGACTCTGTGCAAAATCAAATGACAAGAAGTTCTTCAAAGAAAATGATATGCTGTTGTTGCTAAAATTACTGTTGGTCTTCTTGCACCCTATTTTAATTTACTGCAGCTGTAGCAGGAGGAAAACAAATACGCCATACTTCTTTATATTCTTAATAACAGTAAAATACTAACAGACTTCCGTATGTGTTGGTAACCACATAATACAAGCAGAATATTTTTTTAAAACCTTAACTAGTGTGCAGCACTGATCAAGCTTGAATTATAAAACTTGCTTTCCTGCGTGTTTTGTTCAACGGAATAAATTTGGTTATGCTGTGATTTTGAAATCACCTGACATGTCTGATTAAATTCTCCACTGATATTGGTATACCACCCAACCCTACACTTAACACATACAATAAACACTATTGGTGTCACTACATATTACTTACTTGTAAGTATGGTCAAAAGAAATAAATATTCAGAGAAAGTGATGATTCCTAGGGACAAAAGAAGATAATATCCCTACTATAAATAGAATCTAAAGTTTCATAATGTATGGGTGTATATTAAATAATTAAAGTTCTTATGTTGTGAGGACACTGTTTGAACATTGATTAAAACCAATGAGTGGCACAAGCTATTTTTGCATTCTACCAATACAACATCTGTTTTCTAAACTAAAAAAAAAAAGCCACACAAACAGATGTTAAAAAATTAAATACCATTATCCTGCAATGTCCGAAAAAATTTCCTGGATCCTTTTGAAATTGAAGGTGTACTTTTCACCATCTGTGAAATAACCTGTCAGGGAAAGTAACAGAAACATGTACATATAAGATTATTGCATTAGTTAAGCAGATAAGTGCGCATGCCAAGTGTTACTGTGGAATGAGATGCAAGCATTTACCATTATGATGCCAAGACATTCTAAACCCCATGTACATCTAAGTAATATGATACGATACGATATGATACGATACGATACGATACGATATGATATGATACAAATGTTATTGTCAACTCCCTATGGGGGCTTTTCAGAGACAATGATAAAGATATTTTACAAAAAAAATACTATACAATTCAAATAGCATGATACAGTGCACAATCCTATGACACCATTAAACAAAATAAACATTACCTGGTCCATAGATATAAATAATACACATGATTTATGTACTCACTGCTTCTGATAAGGGTCTTTTCCGACTCCACCCTATACAAAATCAAGAAACCAATAATAATATATTTACACCTGAAATTTACATAAAACATGAACAGATTCGTAATGACACAAATTTTATTAAAAGTGAGGATTGTGCAGGTTTACATTTACACTGTAGGTGTTGTTACCAGTGCCAATAACCTTTGGACTTCTCTTCTAAAACTCGTTTATACTGAGGTCGTAGTGTTCAAACCCTGAGGGGTGGCAAAATGGTATGTAGAAATCCATGAGCCTGGGAAACTCTTGATTTGATCTCAAAACTCCAGAATCCTTTGTGATGAGCCAGGAAGTCTTATCTTTGAATCTGTACTACTGGTCTTGCAGTCCAAAATTGTTCAGTCTTGGATTTTCAAGCAAGGGTCCGGGCATCTCTGGGAGTCTTGAATTTAGATATCTTATTAAATGTTTTGGTATGTACATGTAGTATTGCTGAATATATTTACGAGTTGCATGATATTTTGATGAGTCAAAATACATACAGTGAGTAAAAATATAAAGTGATACTACACACCAAAACATCTAATAAGAGATTTATTATCCAACTGCTGTGGTCAATAAATTTATCAACAAAAGAGGGAGAGTGTGACAGTTTTGCGTGTGCGTGCCGACCTGTACCGCTAAGAGGTTTTCTACTGTACAAATAACTGTACAATATCACTGTATATTTGTACTGTTATTTGGACAGTATTTGCTGCAGTTGGATAATAATACTCTCTACTTGATTGCCTAATGCTTACTATTTTTTTGAGGAATCAAATATGTGCTTTTCTTAGCAACTGGTTGTTACATGGTACACAGACACGACAGCTAGATCAACTGTCAATGTTTGGAGTTCATGTTATGTTATTAAAGTACACAATAGTAAAGTTTTAGATAAATGTTACACATACATGTAGCATAATATGTAGCTCTGTGATAGCCTGGCTTGTCATCTAATTATTTTACCCTGTCTGCTCAGAAACAGAGAGTTTTTGACACGCCAAAACATTTTTCTGTGTAGGAAGTTAGATGTTTTGGTACAGTTAAGTTTGCATTTGACCGACAGGTTACTGGGTGTGTGTCCATCACGTGTCAATCATTACCTGGTAAGTCTCTGTACGTGAGAGATTCCAGGAAGTCAGCTGGAGTCATGAAGTACTGTCCATCGAATTCAATGGAAGCAAATTGTTCGAACATGCTTTTCCGCCTTGTTTGCGAATGAACATGTGAATGATGGGCAGTAGATTTGGCCAGAACTACATTGACAGATGAATTTCTGGTTTGAATTTTCCACAACAAGCAACAACTCACTCCGCCAATTCCAACGAGCGTGACGCGAAATAAGGACGTTTTTCCCGCTAAGGACGAGAACATAGCTCAAGGAAAGGATTGCACTGACAACAGGAAGCTTTGAGAGAGCAGAGTATGAATATCTTGCATGGAAATAATCACCAATTTACCCCAAACCTTCGAGGTACTGGCAGGTGAAAGACTGAGCTCTAGTAGAAACCGCTGACCAAAGCGCGATCTTTCATTCTTCGGCACTTCATTTCACAAAATATACATCAACAGCTGCAGTAAGCTTTCTTTAGATTTTTCATACGATAGAAATGGCTTCGGCGGTTACAGATTACTGCAGAACGCTCGTAAGTATTCGTTTTTGTAGGTAAGTGTTGTTCTGAAAAAGAATTCTTTGCGATTCTCCTTAAATGTTTCTGTTTCAGGGAGCGGATGGGCGGCAGCTTCGTTTAGCAGGCCATGTCGGCTTTGACAGTTTACCAGACCAGCTCGTCAATAAATCAGTGAATAGAGGATTTGCCTTCAATATTCTATGCATAGGTGAGTCAGAGATACGTCTTGTTAAGGGTGAAATTAGTTTTCAGTCTTTCATTTTGCTTTGGGACAGAGCGTCGATGATTCAACGGCAGTATACAAACTTATTATCATACGTCAAAATCAAAATACAAACACGATGTTCGTGAAGTTGAATTGATGTTAAAGCGAAAATCTAGAACGTAATTAAATGAATGGATCTATTTTCATTTTTTTTTTAGGGGAAACGGGAATCGGAAAATCAACGCTGATGGATTGTCTTTTCAAAACGACGTTTGAAGGTGTGTGAGGGCTATATCTGTAATATGTAACATGTACATGTACATATGTGGGTCTTCAAGAGTTCCATTCAAATTCCGCACAAGCTTTGGAGTTTGTGAGGGGAAGTGATGCAAACGCGCTTTGCTATTGTTAATATTAATAGTTATTGTGTGGTAGAATTAATAGGTGTGGCCACTCTCCAAAATCCACTAAATATTGCATGAGTGACAGATCTGTGGGTACAATTGTTAGTTTTATGTAAAGTACCTGAAATGTCACGTACTACAGACTTGAGGAGTGTTTTAAAGTTGGTCTCTGTAATGTGCTTATTTCTATGCAAATGCAAGAGTGATGAATATATCAAAAATTATGTTGTGTTGTTCAAAAGAATCAACCAGGTATTGAGAATAATTAGTGGAAACACCTGTTGATCATCAGACTGAATGAAGTGAATTTTCAATGTTGGTTTTCATTCTGTTACTAAAAAGTGAGCTTTTTAATGTTTACAGATTTTGAAACCAGATAACCAAACATAACTTATTCAAGGGCCAAAAATATTAACCTTAATGCTGAGACATTCTGTAGCTGAATCAGAAGTTCAGTAGTATGGAATGATAACAAACAATTAGATCTTTCTTATAGATCAGCTCTGTAGCTGAATAAATTACAGTTGTATATCTTTGTAGGAAACAAAAGAAATTGCAAGCCACTTTTCCTGTTGAAAAATAGTACACCTGATTTTTTAAAATGTGGAAAAAAAATTCTTGTTTTAGAGTTTGAATTTATTTTGAAATAGACCTTCAGTAACTTATTTGCAAGTCTCTTCAGAACTCCACATTTAGTTTTTAAGTGATTGTGAGGCATAGCACTCAAATTAACTGATTCTTTCCATTGCCAACAATCTTAACTGGGCTGTGCCTATAGTCTTGAGTTTAAAGGACTACAGGACTCACACAAAGTAATCACGTGTGGTAGATAATTAGTTTTCTTTAAGCCATCAGTGCACACCAATTATGGTGTATCTACATTTCAATTCTCAGCAATAAAAATCTGGGAATCTGTTCCACTAGAACTTAAACATTTTCCATACATGCTCTTCAAAAAGCGGTATAAAAGATTCTTATTGACCACTCAAAACTGACCATAGTTTAACTGTTAAGTATGTAAGATAATGCTGTACAATATTCAGGACATTGTTTTCCTTTATTTTAGCTTGCATTTATTTATGTCTTTCTTCTTTTATGATAATAATATTGTCTTTAATGTAAATATTAATTTAAATTAACTTAGGATGCAGCCAACGCCAACTTATATCTGCATGACAGTCACCAACTCGAAAGCTCATTGGCTACTTTGGTCACTGTACACAATTAAATATTGTTTCTTCTAGTTAATTTCTATCTGTATTTATTTTTCCTATGTCATTGTAAACCATCTTACATTAAGTTGTTTTTCTGTAAATAGCATGCAATAATAAAAAAACTGAAAAAACTGAAACTGACAAGGCCTGGTAGTAGTTATAGTTCTGGAATTAACCCAAGCTACTGATTCAGGCTCAGAGATGTCTCTCCATGGCTTGTGTATTAAGTTTATCACAAGTCTCCTTACAATTTGGCTACAGTGTACCTTACCTGTGAACCTGTTGTTCTTTTTAGGTCTCCCGCATTCTCATCAGCTGCCAGGTGTTAAAGTAGAGCATCACACATATGGTGAGCATATAGACTTGGACATTTTTTCTTTTAATGTTAAAAAACTCACAGAATTCATCCTGGCGAAACATTTTTAGTCAGGTCCAAGCACTGATTAATTAGGTTTCTTTACAGTTGTGGTTAACTTATTTAGGATAGGTTGTGGTTTTTAATTTCACGTCAAATTAAATGTGTGACAATGTGTACAACAGGTGCCGCTATAATGTGGTCAGACCCAAGAAATGTTACCCAGTTATTTCAAAGAACAGTCAAACCAACTATTTAAAATAAGCGCCCCCTCAAATAAGCGCCCCCTCCCCTTCTCCCATTTTGTTGACAAGTAATGAGACAACAAAGGATTTATAGTTTTTGTCGTGTAGTATTAGATTTGTGCATTGTTTCAGTTTGTGAACACATTAAGTTTGGAAAAAAATTACAACTACTAACAGCGCCACAATTTAAACTTTAAGATCAATTTTTATGTCAATAAACAGCTTATGTTGCTGTTTACACACAGATGATGTATTAAAAAAAATGGTCATGTCAGGCCACGATTTGAGAAAAATTAAATAAGTGCACCTCCTCAATTAAGCACCCCCCTCAAATAAGCGCCCCTCGTCTTCTCTTGAATTTGAAATAAGCGCCCCAGGCGCTAATTAGAGGATTTACAGTAACTCTGTTCTCAGCGTTTGGAAATGTGGCAAAACCCAGTCTGTCGTGTTCAAAATGTTACACCAGTCCTAGAAACCTGAAAACTTTCCAAAGAACTCCTGAAGAGACTCCACTACTTACTGCACATGTGTTATCAGACATTTTTCCATGTGTTTTTTTTGTTGTTGTTTTTTGTTTTTTCAAGTCAAGATAAGTGTGGAAAATGATGTCTGAAAATTCCTTGAAATTTCTTACAGGCTACTATAAGTCTGTAATGCTGTTGTTGAGTGAAATGTTTGCCAGTTGCAAAATTTTCTGTTCTTAGCATTTGTTCTTGCTCAGTACAATGAAACTGGATAATAAAAGTAAAACACTAATGGTTTTTGAAGCTACTGCATGTACTAAAGTTACATTTTCCATGCAAAAATATAATTAACTGTAACCATAAAATTGACAATAAAATAAAATGTACCTGTACATGGTAAACATTGATAAAATTGTCATTTATTATTTACAGATTTAAATGAGAGTAATGTGAAACTAAAGTTGACAATTGTGGATACTGTTGGTTATGGAGACCAGATCAACAAGGACGACAGGTAGATTGCATTATTTTAACCATATCAATTCCATCAATTTGTAGTTGTTACAATAATTGTGTGTACTACCTTTATTTTAAACTGCCAATAGAATCTGTAGCAAGCTATTGACATACTCAACAAGTAACAAGTTTTTTTTGTGTTCTTTATTCAGTGCTAGTCCCATTGTGGAGTACATTGATTCACAGTTTGACAAATATCTTCAGCAAGAACTCAAGATAAGAAGAACGCTGAACTCTTATAATGACACTCGTGTACATGTCTGCCTCTACTTCATTTCTCCAACAGGCCACTCGTAAGTCATTATTTTTTCTTTTATAATTATAAATTTATTTAATTTCACAAATCATACATACAAAAAGAAAGACGCTAACTTGCAAAATTATCAAAGGGCATGGAATTTGAGTAGTATTTCCATACTACTTCATGTAACTATAAAAACATATATGAACTTTGTTTGTCCTTAGGTTAAAATCACTGGATCTTCTTTGTATGAAGAAATTGGACAAAAAGGTGAGCTTCTATTGTTTGCCACAAAAAATGTAACATACATTATCTACATTGTCTGATTGTTTTATTATTGCAGGTGAATATTGTTCCCATCATTGCCAAAGCTGACACCGTAGCAAAAAGTGAACTGAACCAGTTCAAAGAAAAGGTGAGAGAAACCAGTTGTCAACATGGTGTAATTTTATCCCGTGTGAATGAAAAGATTAGGGATACTTGTCTTCAGGTCATCTCGCTAGGGGTGTAAATCACAGATTTTGTTCTTGCTTAGGGTGTTCAGGAAATGCCCAAGTTTTAGCTGCCAATGTTTCTTTTAGGTAACACTGTCATGTCAGTTTTAGACTGATATTTTTAGGGGTCAAATAAAGCTGGAGCCATGACCAGATTGGTCTTCTTCTTTCAGTTAAGAGTTTTATTCACATTTTCCAACAAACATCAACGACCCTTTCATATGGGAGTTCCCCCTTCCCATCCCCCTTCCCATATGAAACCAAATGAAACCATACGTACATACACTTTATTTAAATACAGTAGAAACATCAGTTGTATTACAAGACTGAGATTAAAATAAAATTTAAAAAAAACACTGATTTACATGTTTGCCATGTGGGGGAGTATGAGGAGGATATTAGGAAATTAATCCTAGTAGCATGCAGGACTTCTGTCACATTTGAACCTACAGCTGCAGGTCACAATTTTTCTTGTCTCTCGTTGGTAGAGCATCATTGTGACGAATGTGTTTTCATTGAATTCTTTTGAGAGGACTTAAAACTTGTTGCAAGTACATGTAGCTTGTGTGGCTAATTACTGTCTTTCTTGGCCAAGCATTTTAATACTTGTAACCTATCTTTATTATATGGCTGTGTCTCACAAGGACTGGGAACTACCGAATTCACGAATTTGATTGGCTGAAATCGATATTGACGGTGGTCTAGATTTTCCCATGTAGACTGGCATCTAGACCGGTTTCATTTTGTGTTGAAAAAGTAGCAAACTAAAATACAAAACTGTTCACTGTTTTCTTTTATTTTCTTCTCAATCATTTACGGAAGTGCCAAAAAGCCTGGTGACAAAGAAAAAAAAAAAAAGTAAAGAGGACGAGCAAATTTCGGCAGGTTAAAGTTAAGCTCATCTCCGTTTGCAAGGAAAATGTTAGCAAACCAGTTACATTAAACGAATTAAAGTTTTTTTCTTTGCCATATAATAAACATCTTATTAACTGAACTAAGTTGGTCTGTATGGGAGAATCTTGACTGAGGTCGTGTGTAGAGACCTCACTGCGTTCGGTCTTTACTCACGACCTCGGTCAAGATTCTCCCTTACAGACCTCCTGCTCGGTTGATAAGAGCTAAGTAATACACGTACATTATATCAATATTTAATGAGAGATGGTGTTTCATGTCATATCTGAATACAGGCAATAAAGTTAAAATAAGGGTGTACAGGGTCTGTGCTAAAGACGATCAAATACCAAGCCACTGACACAGTTTTGATTCCCTTTCCTTTCTTTGATGAATTATTAAATTACATGTAAGTTGACATAAGGAGGTCAGCTTGGTGAGCTGACATTCAATTTCCAAGCAATATTTGTTTTTTGTTTTTTTTCAGATCATGGAAGAACTTGCAAGTAATGGAGTAGAAATTTACCGATTTCCCGTTGACGATGAAACTGTTGCCGAAATGAATGCTAGCATGAATGTAAGGAATACTGCTTAGAAAATTTTAGGGATATTCATTTTTAGGTTCTGTACAGTATTTTAACCAGCAAGCACTGATGTCATTATGTTCAACTGTAGGAACAAATTCCATTTGCGGTGGTTGGCAGCCGTGAAGAAGCGATCGTTAACAAAGTGAAGACAAGAGCTCGACAATATCCCTGGGGAACTGTAGAAGGTAAAAGGAAACGTTATTCAATAATTAGCACTGCTGTCTACTTGTAGAGCGCTTTGTGGGGAGTTACAATGGCCATTTTGGTTTTCCAAAGCAAACTCTTTTGTTGGAAATGACCTCTATTCATAAATAGCGCATAACAATAAGATTTCTTTTACTGAAAGTGATTGATAATTGTTAACCGAAAAGTATTCTCAATGGCCTTTTTGTTTAAGTTCAGTGTTAGACATTTCCAAGAGGGTCGTTGTGAAAATCGTTCTTTTTTTGAAGAAAGTTCAAATTAGATTTCTTTTCTGTACTTTTTAGTTGAAAATGAAAATCACTGTGACTTTGTGAAGCTGAGGGAAATGTTAGTGCGGTAAGTGGGAAATTCATTTTGCCTTTTCCGTTTCCTCAATTCTCTCAAATTTCGAGAATCGAGGCTGAAGACAACTAAAGTCGAATTTCAGGAAACGAGATGAGACCTTTTCAAACGAGTGTTGAGTGTCGACTTTTACTATTCAAGTATGCTGTTGGCAGGAAATTTTTCGTTTAGGCTTACAAAGTTACAAGGTGAGGGAAGGAATTACAAGAGGTAAGGAGAAAGGGACTGAGCTGATGAAAGTAAGATGAGGATAACGTATACACGTTCAGCTGCATTTAAATATAAAGTACAGTAAGTCAAGTAAGGAGACAAACGTGTGAGGTGCCCAAAACATTGTATTGAAACAAGAAAAAGCAGAGAGGGGCTTATAACTGGGATATTTTTCGTTGTCTACTATAGGCTGATAGGTCTCTAACTGGGGAACCTATAGGTATTTAACCAGCATTTTACTACCTCTTCAACCATACTCTTTATTCTATTTTCAGTACTAACATGCAGGACTTGATTGACAAGACTCACGCCGTGCACTACGAGCTATACAGAAGGACCAAGCTGGAGGACATGGGATTCAGTGATGGTGGCGGAGACAAACAGCCTCACAGTCTACAGGAGACGTACGAACTCAGACGACAAGAATACATGAAGAACATTCAGGGCAGAGAGGAGCAGATGAGGCAGAGCTTTGTCAACAAGGTCAAGGAGAAGGAAGCGGAATTGAAACAAGCCGAACAGGAAGTAAGAGATGGAGATTTTCGAGAGCGTCTACGAAAGCGTTACTTGTTCTGTAGAAAAACTGATTCAAAAACTCTGGAAGAATGTAGATTGCCAGGGGTTTCATTAAGGGCCAGGCACCAGGCAAATTGACCAGCTGTGAGGATGATTTTGCCCAACAGGTTTGACCATCTGGAGGAACGTTTTTCTGATAGAGAACCTCAGTTCAAAAAGTTTTGTCCACCTGTGAAATCCAGTTGCCCTCCTGCCGAAATCGGTAATAAAACCCCTGTCCATTGCGATCGTCTTCGATCACAAACGCACACACTCTCCATCAAAACCGTGGTGTCTTCTAACTTTAGTGGCTACGTCGATATTATATACCCTTTCCGCAACAAGATAACAGAGTCTCAGCCAGTTTGTGCAAATAAGTATTGGTCATTTTAGGCCATGTTCTTATGCAAACCTTTATGACCGCTAGGACACGAACTGAACCTATTGTAGCATTTGAACGCTAATGTCGTTGCGTCGTTATTTTATCACCAGCTCCATGCAAAGTTTGAACATTTGAAGAAGACACAAGTAGACGAGAAAAAGAAGCTGGAGGAAAAACGAAGGATGCTGGTAAGGCAGATGAGTTTCATTCTGTTGTGCGAGGCGTAGTTTCGTATCATTGGAGCACTTCTATTATGATTTCTCGAACGAACATCTTACGAACTCTAACAATAGCAGGCTCAACATTAATGTAGACCATTACAATTGGCCCTTTCAGAGTTGCCTCTTCCCTTCATGTCAAAACGAGTCTTCGTGTGAAACAGTTCAGATATAAATTGTGTTCCGCCCACAGGTTCATTTTCATGCAAATCAAACTCATTTTCACATGAAAGGTTTTGTGCGAGGGCTCGTTTTGAAACTGAGGCACAAAGTACCTCGGAAATGGCTTATCGCATTTGATAAATGATAGGAACCATTAAGAGGATGGCTTATGATGGCGGAGATGGTATTGGGCTGTGAGGTGGACCACATTGAAAAAAGCGAGACTTACTTAACGACACTTCAGTCATGCTGGTATAGGGTGGCATTTATTTTTAGGTTAATAATAATAGACGAGGATATGAAATAACAGAACTTTTGAGGTTCCCTCGAGTTCGAAACCAATCGAGTATCGTTCTACTTTGAGAAGGACTTCAGGGGTTGTGACTGAATCAATACAAAACTTAGTAAAACAATTGACTTGACTGTTACTCGGAAGTGCATTCGACTGGATAGTTATGAAAGATTCTTAAACGCGATTCTTGTAATGATTCTGAAGGGTGACACTTGGACTTGCTATTTTGTGTTCTGTCTTAAGGACGAAGAAATCAACTTATTTAACAAGAAAAGAGCCGCTGCCCTGGCCGCACAGGCTCAAGCTCAGCAAGCCACCGCCCAAGTCGCCAAGGAATCAATGAAGGGAAAGAAGAAATAAAGACACGTAGAATATTAACAAATTATTAACTTAATTCTAGTAATACAGTCTAACCTCGTTAACTGGGGCAAAAAATGGGGAATGTCAGTTGCTGTATAATAGAGGTAGAGTTCATGTTAATTTTTCCCTCTCTCATAAGAGTGAGCCTCCACTGAATGTGGTATCCAAAAGAAGTATGACTTTGTACTAACTCGTTCGCTAAAAGAAATCAGAACACGGAGCGATTTCAACATAAAAAATCTGTTTTTACAGCGTTCAGGGTCTTTTTATAACGGGAGCTTTTTTCCCCGCTACCTAGACTCGTTCCCAGGGTCTTGAGCAAGAGAGGGACAGAAAGGAAGAAAGATCCTGGGTACTATTTTTTTTCCTCGACCTCCTAGTTACCAGGTCCTTTTTTTATCTTTTCCTTCAGCGGGGCGCCAAGGGTGAATCTTGATCGTTTACAGTTATTATAACAATGAACACCACAATCAAACTTTCCTTTTATCTTTACTTCGTTTTACAGTGCTATCTTAATTTATAACATTTCATAGCTTGCCGACTGTTTATATACTAGCTATTTAAAGAGGTGCTCATGGTGCCAGCTGTGTTTTACCCAGCAGGCAACTTTATTACAATAACATTCAAATATTATATTCCTGAACTTGATCAATAAACACTACAGCCGTTTCAATTCCACAAGCTTAAATTAATCCTACCAATTTTCAACACCAATTTGTTATCCTAAGGAAAATTATGTTGCACTTTGTAATTTGAGTACATCTACAATTTACTACCGTCGTAAAAAATGTCCCGAAAAATTACACCCACCTAAATTTAAGCCTCAATCGTAATCAGCCTCTTATTTGTCATTATAAGATCAACACGTAATCTAGCTTATAGGTCGGGACACTGAAAGAATTGACCACCTTATTGTAATCTCCCAAATAGTAATGTAAGAAGAATTTTTTGTTGATACTAAGTGATTTTACCAAACCCGTACAACAAAAGTTAATTTTCACTAGCAATTTGAGATCACCCAAAAATTGGTGGAGAACAACCCTATCGGAATGGAATCAGTTCTATTGATTTTGTACAATCTCTCGGCTAGAAAATGTAACCATTACTAGTTGTTTTATCGTAATGCAAAAGTCCATTGAATTAATAAATACAAACACGGTCCTTATCAACTGTCTGTGTGGTTGTCCTTTAAAATAAAGAGTTTATACAACTAGTTCTCATGGATTGTCGTTGGAGAATTTAGAAGGCAACACACAACCGGGAAGAAACCGGAAGCAAGGCGGGAAAAAGCCACTGGTACTGAATTGTACTCCACATTGATTGGCTGAAATTGGAATGCTCCACGTTCTGCATTGCGATTGCTTCTTGTTGTCGGAATGACCCCAAAAATCCAGTTCCCGACGGCGCGTTTACACCTGCGATTTGTGAGTCGTTGCCGCGGCGATTTCAACCCCCTGTGTAGACTAACAGGGATGTTTTTAATTGTAGAAAAGTCGCCATATCAAACGTGCCTGTAGGTCCACGCTAAGAAACGTCGGTTTTGAAACAATAAAGGGTATGTTGCTGTCAAATCAAAACTTGATTTAATTGTAGAATTGTAACCATTTTACACAATCGAGACTGTCCATTGCAGCTTACAATTGAAACTTTTAGTCTTCAGTCTTGAACCATAAGAATTCGATATCTCTCAGTGACATCTGTGACAAAATTCTCTGTAAAGGAAGGACTTGTATTGATGTCAAAGACGACCTGGAAAGTTCACGGCGATGGCTAAGATACTGCCCGAGGCCAGTCCAGCCACCAAACACCTAGAGACAAAAAGGTTATCAAATGAGATAAGTGACAGAAAAAAACTGGTATACCAAGCTAGTAAATAGAGGTTGGGAGTCAAGTCTGCGTTGAGCCTTATGGCCCATGGAGCAACAAGGAATACTTCGACTCCTCCGTGAGTGGCATGCTAGTCCATCGCAGGGTTACCCTCGAACCCAACAGAAACGTTTCGGCCGCTTCAAAAGAAAAAAAAAACGGAGAATCGCACGAACGTTTACAAACATTTGCCTACTACATAAGGACTCCCTCTGTCATGTTTAATAAACCACTTTGTATCATTTCTATTGCTTATAGGTTCCAAACACCAAGTAAGACACTAAAGCAACCCGAGAAGAGCTTTGTTAGTGTTTTTGTAACATCCCGAGTACTTTTTCGAGCCAAAAACCATTAAGTTAAGAAGCCTGTTGACTTCATGAATTAATGACTAAAATTGTCACGACTTATCCGCGCAACAGTCAAATTGTGTCAATTCACATAGCCTAATTGCAGCGCGCACGGCATCATTAGCGTTTGACAAAGAACAAATTCCAATTGCAACAGCTAAAAAGGTACAAAGATCGCACTCTCCTGCAGTCTTTCACCAGCGCTTGACATATGATTTATCTCATGTACACTATCAAATACCACCTCTTTCTGTGCATGTTCACCCTGCCAAAGATATGAACAGAACTCTCAATAGACCGTTTTGCAGTTGACTGCTCAGTGACTTGGCCTTTGAATGGCAGCGAGGCTGGAGGTGACCTTGTTTTGATGCAGACGTCACTGCTTTTGTTGTGTAAATCGAGTTGTTCTAATGCTAACTAGTTTGCATTTAAATAAGACAAGCGGAGAGGCTTGTGCCAAAGCAAGGACATCTCCAGCCTTAGAGCAAACAACTGTAAAATAGCCTATTTGTGGCTCCGTAGCCCAACAGTGGAGCATTCTCAACGGCCTCGAATCAAGTTTATTTTGCTAAACTTTCTTAAGAACTGGTTGCGTTACTGAAAAACTGCAAAGATCAAGCGAATTTTACGCACCTCTGATCAGTGGAGATAGCCAGAGCTCTAATACTGCCATCACATGGCGGATAGGTGTGTAGTAGGCACAAGTCATGTGTCCGCCATACCCGCAAGTATCGACTGAACCCCCCGGATACAAAGAAATTCCCATCTTTGTTGAGCGCCAATGCCTGCGAGCAGGTAAAGGATTGAAACACATCAGTTATTTTGCACACAATTCTTAGAAAAAGTCTCGATTGGTAGCGATCTACGCACTAAGGTTTACACGATGATTTCTTTCAAAATTCAAAGCTAACTGATGCATCGGATTTCTACAAGGAGTAAAGCCATTTCTTTCAGAATTATTTGAAATGGTTCAAAATGTTCACCCCGAAATAACAATTTGATTTTGTAGAACAGTATTTGATAAATGACAAGAGCACCAGGGAAAACGAGAATGATTAACGACTGCAAGGATGGAAATAGATTACAATAGAGACAAACTTGGCATTGTATCTAACTAAAGTTTGCAGTTCAAGTTGTAATCAATACCTTTTGCCCTTGAACCGGAGAAAGCCTTTCAGTAATTGCTCCCTAACATGAAAGCTCATATCAGTTCCACGAATTCGAAAATTAAGAAGTGGTACGCGTGCAGAGTGCAACTATCGAGTCATGGATGCCTGCGAGAGGTTGCTAAGCACCAAAGAAGCGGCAAGGGTCGCACGAGGCGATAGCAGTTTTTTCCAGTTTTAGATAATATGGTTCCATACAAAGCAAGAAAACTGTGACTCGCTACTCTGCCTTGAAAACTCTTTGTGATTGACAATACGTACCAGCATCTGGTCATCAAGCCTTTTGTCGCTTAACAACCGGCCATTGATGGTAAACACCGCCAGATGACCTGTCCCATCTGTATAGTTAATTAGCACCAGGCCATCGCGCGTCAGCTTCAACAGCCTCGGTCTGACACACTCTCCCGGACCACGCAGTGTTCTCAAGAGATTTCCTGTTGTGGTGTGTAAGAGACAGGGCCCCTCTACAAGAGAACAAAACAGTACCATCACCCCCCTATTTTAATACCATTGTCTCGACCATCTTGTTCCTAAGATACATACCTTGCGAACCGCTGACCACAAGTCCCGTGGAGGCGCTGACATCAACACAAACAACAGGCTGCTCGTGTCCAGTAAGTATGGCCAGTGGGGAAGGGTTGTCACCTGACAAAACAAAATCAGACATGATCTACATCAATCCTAAAAACTGACATGTACCTCAATTCCAGTAACTAAACATGTTTAGTCAAAACTAAACTTGACGAAAATACCGTCCAAGCTCTAAACGTTCTAAAACTTCAATTTTCATTAGCCTCCCACTTTACTAAGCCCCATGCCCTCGCCATTCCTAAGGTGCTGTGAACAAATATATCTACGGAAAGATCCTGGCAATCCTATAGACTTTGCGAGCCAAAAACCGATTATTTTGGCAGCTACAACTACCAGTTTGAACCGTTCCCGGTTTTTCGTTTTTACTCAAAACACTCACTTTTTGTTACTTTTTTTTAATGAGCTATGATTTCAAACGAAATGAGCCCCTTTCTACTTAAAAGGGTATGCTGAATTTAATTTCCTTTTTACATCACAGGGCCTTAAGGGCTAATAAAATGAAATAAAGTCCTAACTCCTTTGATTTTCAAAAGTAGATTTTAAAGCTAGTACTCACCCTCCGCGCGGTCAGATGCCGCAACTCTCTGAAGCCGCTCGCTCCAGCGCCAAACCAACACAGTGGCGTCACGTGATCCAGAAACGACAAACGCGTCTCCTCCTGTCAAACCCGCGTGTCGGGAGTACGCCAAACACGTTACAACATCCCAGTGGCCGAACACGCATTGTGTCAATTTGCCTAAGAACGAAACAGAGTACCAAAAGACGAGTTGATAGCAATTTCAGCCACCCCCACCCCTCCTCTTCCCCCAAAAAAGCATAACATTATTTTCCTGTACTGTCAAGTCACTCAACCCGCTATTACGGACATACATCAGCGAAAGATGAGGCAAAATGTACAGCAGATTTGCTAAAGACCACTTCTGCTACAACAGATTTTAAGCTTCAACACACGAGAAGTCGCTATATGGAGGGTTTTACCAAGTTGTCGGGCGTTGATTGCATATGGAAAACAGCCAGAAAATGCCGATAGGTCACTTTCGATAAATTAAAATTCAGCTTGATAGTGAGGTCTAGAGAACACAAACAAAAGAAATGAATAAACATTGTCATTCAGTTTCTTTTGTTTGTGTCCTCTAGGCCTCACTGCCAAGCTGAATTTTAATATATCGAAAACGGTCTATTCTTAAGACATTGACTGGACCTCATCACGAAAATAAAGCATTATTCATCGAAAGGTACTGTTGTATAAAGGCGACAACAAGCGCGAACATAACGAATATTTTGGCCAAAATCTCCAAGAATGTCTCGCATCCAAGTAGTTAAACCCGCAGGCTCTCACGCAGATAGCCAAACACGAACGTTTCTATTTATCGCAAGTTTCTCACCACTATCCGCCGAGAAACACTTGAAGCTGTTATCCCAGTAGCCGCAAGCCATGATGTACTTGTTGTCAGCGGTCACCACGAAACAGCAGGCGCACGGCGTGACTGACTGGTCCAGCGGCTCACCGAGCTGCCGCTTCTGTCGGCCAGCGGATGTAGCTGTTAAGGCAATAGATATTCCTGAGCACAATTTCAAAATATGTCAAGCAAAACTTGAAACAGTAAAGTGACCAGCATACCTAATAAGGGATCTTGTTCAACTTGAACTCCTCGAAGACTTTGCTTTGGATCCGCTAAAGAAAGAAGACAGATGTCTCGGTTAATTTGGATAAACGTCCACGGGTCTTTTACAAGATGTCTGTAATGAATGTACAAAATATTCTTTTCGCTCACGGAAAAAGAATTGATATAAACTCTTCTCAAAACTGATGGCAATTTCCTGGAAGGATTTCATGATGCAAATACATTATCGGTAAAATCTCAAAGCAGACGGGGCAAAATTTGAAAGCGTGGAAAATCGTTAACTTTTTCATCTCCTTCAAAGCCATTGCCAACTGTCTCTATCATTTGTCGAATTCCTATGAGATCAAGCCATTATTGTTGGAGTTTGTCTGAATTACACACTATCTGAAAGCCTGGATCGCAACGAATGGTTCAACCTCTCGCCGGAGTCATTGGGTAAGACTCTTTACTCTCACAATTCGTCTCCACCCAGGAGAATAAATGAGATTCGACCAATTGTCGTGAAAACCTGACAAAGTTCCGCGGTGGGGAATGTCCTTGAGATAACACTCCATCCGGGTGGAGCTGCAATACTCATGCTACAGAAAATCGAGCCGTGTGTCACAGAGACGGCAAGTCCCTCACCTGATGTGAACCACTTGTTGACCGAGAAACACTGGTTACAACTGATGGTTACTACAGCAGGGGAGGGGACGGTAGAGTCCGTGTTAGCTGCCACGTGAGTTACCGGGACATCACCCGTAACTTTGAAAGTCAAATATATACCTGTAGAGGAGAAATACCACGCACGGACGTTAGCGGTATAGACACATGAAAACAAGTAACTTCAATGCCCTGATAACAAGTATCTATTACAAATTCAAAACTCTAAAGCAAGAAAGAACTGATACGACAACAGGCTCTTCAACGTACTTTTAAATGGCTCTCCTTCTTCGTTACTCTAAAGCAAAGTACAAAGAACAAGGTGAGTTTCATCGTACAAAAATTACAGTGCAACTATAAGGGAAATTTTAAAATCACTTGGAGAGACATTCCTTACTTTCGACAATACTTCGTATCAGCACCCGACAAGTTGACGATTCTCTTTGTCCAATCAGCAAGAGGCATGAGCACTCCGAACGATATTACATCAAGATGACGCTCATCTATCTACGTCATGTTACCTATTAACCTCTTTACGAAAACCTCGAATTCCGCAAGCCTCGCGGGCTCAATAATTCCTCCCAACTAACCAAACGAAAAAAAGCTCTTACTTCCCACCCACAAAAGTGCTGTCATTTTACCTGTTCCAGGGGTATTCTTGGAACATGTGGTTCATGTAACAGCTGTGACGGCGTTTGACCAAAACTTTTGATCTGTTGTTCAACAGCCTGAAGAGGAAACATGAGTTTGTTGTGGTCAGTCGGGAAAGCTAGCCAAACTTTGACATTTTATTCATATGAAGCTTTAAAAACCACAGACCTAAGCGAAAGAACTCTTTCTAAAATAAAATAAACTACCTTTCATATAATAGGGAGGATTTCAGTCGTGGGTCGTGAAACCAAAATAATCACAACTATCGTGAGTGACATAATGAGCCAATTATAATTCAGAGCATAGCGTTACCAAGCGCAAGAAAATGCACCAGGCCCTTGCCTGGCCAAGTCGGTTTTTTTTTTTTTTTTACCTGATTGGCCCAGTTGGTGGCGCCAGATTTTTAAACCAATGACAGAGGGTAGCTAACTCGATAAATTTGCTCTAGGAAGCTTAGCAACAAACCACAGAAGCATAACACTTTTCACCTCTCTCATGACAGGGTCGGCTATGGAGTCCAGATCAACATTTCCTTCATAAGTCAAGTGGAAAAACACATTGGTCGCCTTCTCTGCTTCAGGACCTAAGAAAAGAATAGACTGTTGACTATCTCTAGCGAAAATTAATCTATATATTTTTCTTCTTCATTTAGGCCACACAGAACAATTTTAAAATAAACTTAGAGAAAATTCTGCGTAATGGCATGGTTAGAAATCTTCCCTGGGAGTTTGGAAGCAGGACTTAAAGTTATTGAATGTACGTCTGGATTACGAAAACAGTCTTAAAGAAATGGCGCCCATGTGTTTTTGTTCTCGCCAGAACAAATTTTAAAAAATGTCAGTCTTCTTTTTTCGTCCACTCTCTTATGTTTTTTTTTCTTACTCTTCTCTCTAATTTTTTTTTTTTCATCGCTTGGAGTGATTTTAAGGCTTTTAGGAGTTGTAAAATAAAAGTGCATATGGGTGATTTGGTGCAAAGTATTGCCACGGTTTTCATAAATCCAGTTTGCTATTCAAGTACATAATTCTTAACAAAGGCGTCGATCACTTCGGGAAATACGTTGAGAACTGGGAAACACTAAGGGGAATTTACAAGCTGATCAATGTATTTCATTCCATGACTGTACCTTTCTGTTTAAATCCAAATATGAGATCCACCCATTCGTGTAGATGGGCGGACACGTGTTTCGATTCTAAAGCCTGCAATGTAAACAGAATAGATCTTCCACATAAAGTGTCCGATGGGGCTTTACAAGTCTAATATCTCCGAGTTTGAATGTCGAGGGAAAAAACACTGCCGCATTGTATGTTATTACTAACAATCGAGAACATTGAATTCAATTCTGCGAGTCCAGAAGCAAAACCTTTGTTGTGAAAATGCGTTTTCCTTTCTCAATGTACTGCAAGTCGATTTCATTTTCGCAAGAAAAGATTTGCACAAGAACTTGTTTAGAAACAAAGACAGAACCAAAGAAAATGTCTACCCATTCACGTCAGCGATTTATTTAGCGCGCTCAGATTGGAACATTCACCAAGACATTTTGACAATTCCCCAAACGAAATCAAGAGTATGTCATGATGAAATGTTTACAGACTGAGTTAGGTAGGGACGGATGGGAAAATAGTTATCTGTCCTTCATTTTTGCACGACACGCCCACTATTCCCCGATCTCAATCCTCAGCCAAACCATTCAGTCCTTCCTAATCTGGGTTGTTTGTTTGATTGTTTGTTTTATATTTGAATTCAGTATTAAAACATGTGGGACACGCGACAGTATGATGCTTACAACATCAGTGACTGGGGTGGATACAGGATATTAGAGTTTACCGAGTGCATCCTCCCCCGGAAAAGTTTTAAAATTGAGGTTCTCGGAAATGGGATTTCCGGCATTTTAAGGTCAAGTCAGCGTGTTATAATGTCTCATTTTTTCTTTTATTTAGGGGGTTCTGCCAAGCCCTCACCCCACCCCTCCCGAAGTCCCCTATATCCGCCCTAGAGTGATACTTGAAATCTCAGCTTTGACTTCAATCAAATCAGCCGTTTTCCCCGACAATGAGCTAACAACGCTCGAACACGTCAACAGCAGTTCAATCAACTTACAGCTCTGTGTAGCATGACAAACTCCTCCGGTGTTGACGCCCATTTGGGAAGCTCCACGTCATCGATGACCACACCATCATCGTCAATACCAAACGTAAACTGAAAATTAACCGAATGCTGCGATCAAAATTACTTTTCTCCTATCATCAACACAAAAGTCAGTCAGACAGGTAATGAGACTAAAATAACTGATCACAAAGTGGTAACTTATCTATACTACCTGCGCCTAACTTCAGATGAACTACCTTGTTTTGACAGGTGTCAATTAACCATAACAAGATGTTCAATATCAAAGATCAAGGTCGTAGTCGTACCCGCCCGCGATCCATGCCGCTAGTCATGTTGACCATGAAAAAAGGGTTGCATAGTTTTCTATTTCTATGCATGCATGTGGTTCTCTTCCTATAGTTATGGTACTCCGCCATGAGGTCCTCACATTTAGTTCGTTCCTGATTTAATAACGATCCAGCAGTTTAGAAAGTCCTTAAAAAGTTTTCTATTACGCCTAAAACGAAGTTAAAAATAAGCAGCAAAATGGCATCTATTTATTTTTTTGTCCCATTTGAAAGAGTAATTTTTCGTTTTAAACCTTTTACAACGACACACATTTAATAATGACCCGCAGTAAGGTATTCAAATTAAGGAAGAAATCGAGTTTCGAGCCGTGAAAGTAGACACTACCATACATCCCTACTTATACAAGAAAATTCTCCCTAACCAAAATTTACACGGGCATGAACAGAAAGGCGTATTTTATTGGTTGGTTGACCAAAGTTAAAGAACAAAATATGAAGACGAGCCTTACATTATTGGAATTCACAAACATCTCCGGAAGATAGTACAGCTCTGGAATAAGTTCCTGAAACAAAACAGTCAACATTTCAGACAAGAAAGAAAATTAAACAAAAAATGCATTACCTTTGCCACCGATACAGATCATACAGCTCAGATCCAAATACGTGTGCACAGTTTTTCGCGCGAACTTCGCAAGCCAACAATACATGTAAGTCACAATGCCAGTGTTAACCACCAAAATGTTAGATGAAACCCATGCACTTGAATTTGTATTCCATTAAATAATAACCTGGTACTAACCGAGCGCGACGCCAGGTCGTGGAAATACGGATCGAACGCAGCGGGTTCCGTACAAAAACGACCGAGGTCCAATATTCCCCATTACGGCTCGAGCGCCTTAGGTAAGTCAGTAGTTCATAATATAGCAAACTTCACGGCTTATGAGTCCGTATGGCAAAATCCCCACCAAGAAAGAACCAATCAGAACGTTCGGATTTACCTCAAGACTACAAGAATGATGTACTTTACCATATAATAATGTATTTTATATCATGCCAGAGAAAATACAGCCAACCAGAATACAGGAAATCCGTTGTATACTCAACGGTAGTACATCCAACTTTCCCACTGTGCGCTGCGCGTATGCCGCATTGATTATGTTGGCCAATGTGTTTCCTATTGCATGGTTTAACCAAGAAAATAAACGTGACTCGTGAGATATTCCAAGATATCCAACTGGAAAGCGTTGCATCATTAGCATAGACTTAACACCCACCTTGACGTCTGACGTGTCTCGCTGACAATTTTTCCAAGAACGGATGATAGAACAGAACGTTCTACCAGGATGGTCAAATTTACCGCCTTGGAGATTCAGGAACTGGGTCGCAAACGGTTCCTGTTGAAATCAATTTATCATCAGTGTGTGGGTTATTGTGGGAGGCGCGGTGGTCTCATGGTTAGTGTGCTCGTCTCCGGATCGAGCGGTTTGGGTTCGAGCCCTGGCCGGGAACATTGTGTTGTGTTCTTGGGCAAGACACTTAACTCTCACAGTGCCTCTCTCCACCAAGAGTATAAATGGGTACCGGCGAATTGTTGGAGAACCTAACAAATTGCGGGGGAGTGACCTGCGATGGACTAGCATCCCGTCCAGGGGGAGTAGAAATACTCCTAGCCGCTTTATGCTACAGAAACCGGGATAAGCTCCGACAGCTATGAGCCAGTTGGATCCGAGGCTTCACCGTGTGGGTTATTGCAGAAATACAAGTAGTTTTTCTATGTACCGTAAAAGCGTTTAAGTGCCGCTAAGCTCCCTCTATATCCTTCTAATTATCGTATGGAACCTCCGACGGAAGCTTTAACGGTTAACTTCGGCTGTATCACGTAACCATGACAACTTACCACACGAATCATCCATGCTAGTGTGAACCCGGATGTGGAATAGTGCGTGCCATAGTGAAACGGTGGAATGTCGTCATTTTCATCCCAGGATGCGTAGCGTTCAAGAAACTGCGCATGTCTTGTAGGGTTCAGAACACCGATAGGCTGCGAACAGAACAGGGAAGTAGAAATAAGTATTTCATGTGTGGCGACACGAAAACCTCCGTGGGCGTCCACAGTAAATCATATTATAACGATCATGAATCAGCTACGAAACTTGCACGAAATTTCATAATGCGTGGTCATCGAGGCGAAGGTGTTATTATTTTAGGGAGACTGTCATCTTTTATCTAAGGCAATGCGTGAAATCCGCTACTAGGAATAAAAGCTCTAGAGCCCGCTTCCCTTTTTTATTTCATCCCCAACCAAACTTAGAACAACAGAACACTTTCTATGACTCACACAGCTACTTCCTACCTATCTCGAGACAGTGAAATTTATATAATATATGCCACGAAGCGACGGAAAATACTACTTCCAGTGTCGCCATCGGTGACAAAATTAACATTTTTAAAGGTTGAATCAAAATCAATAAAACGACAGCACGCGGGCTTGTGGTGCAAGCAATAACGAACATACAGATTGTAACTCCAATGAAGGTGGACAGAAGCCACCAAAAATTCAGAAAGGAAAATCAGATCGGATTACAAAAACCTTTAAAATATGCCATAACTTTACCAGAGTATTAGTAATAACAAATAGGATGCGAGGACAAACGACACAAAGAGACAGAAGTCACAAAGAGACAGAAAAGCAGCTGCAGTCACTAGAATATTATTATTGATTTCCTCATACCTTGGACAGATCTCTGTAGTTATTAGGATCCGTCAGATCCAATGCGTCAGACTCGTAGTTGGTCAAAACCCACGGAAACACTGGGTACTGATTAAGATCACAGAAACTTCGACCTACCATAACAAGAGTCAATGATAATTATTGGATTTCCACCAGCCCGAGAAATAGATGTCATTTCACGCTATATTCTTCCCAGCAGAACGTCAGCGATTCGACAGGTAATAATCTTCCTGATTAATGAGTTTGGTGTAGTGTCTCTCAATCAGTTCTTGCACGTTAAAATTTCAAACCATTTATCAGTGTACCATTTTTTAACAGCACGATCTCAGACGTTCCTCTGCTGGAAGAGTATTAATCACGCGAAGAGAGTGGCGTCCGTTTTCACAACCCAGATTTCTACTTTAAACACAGAAAACAAGTAGGGGTCACTGGAAGACAATGTGCTTACCGGCGATGGTGTTGAGGAACATGAGATATTGAAAATTGGACACTTCTCCTTTCTGCCAACGTTGCGTCATGGTGGATTTTTGGAACAGCTGGCGAGGAGAGTACAATGACGCTGCCCTGAAAACGAAGTGCGTATTAACAACCAATAAACAAACAAACAAACAAACAAACAAACAATTCAAAACTAGACTGTTCACGCCCTCTCTATTTACGCACGCGAAAGAAAAAGCGAGCGAAGCGAGCGCGAAGCACGCGGGGGTGGGGGTGGGGTTATCTCGGTCCCCACGCCCCACCCAGTCAAGTCGTTCATTTTGCGCTGGCGCCCAGTTCTCTTGTGATTCTATCTGCGCGTTCAACGATCGAATAAAAATACGACAAAACAGAGGATTGCAAACAGTCTATCCAAAACAAGCGTACCTTGTTTGTGGTATCCCATAATATGTGCCGACTCCAACAGGAGGAAGAGCTCGCACTACTCTCCTCACGGTCTGCTGATCAGCAAACTTGAACATCACAGACGCTGTCAGACAAGCAAAGAGAAAATAAAGTAGAACAGTCGCTTTACAATCGAAGTACACTGAGTTGTAACATTTCTAAATAGCGTAAAAACACTTCGTATTTTTTTGCGCAACAATAAAAGCCTTAGAGGAGAAAGAAAAAAACTTGCCAACAGACAAAATTGCTAGCATTGTAGGGAATCCAAGAAAAGAGGGTCTACCTTGTACACGATAGTAGGGAGTTCAAGCAAACACGACGGCAACGCCAAGGACAACGTGGATCAAAAAATTAATTTATATTCAAGCCATGAATCTCGCAAGAATCTAGATTCATTCAGTTTGTCTACCATAGTCAAAGGTATCCCAAAACAGAATATGTAAGACAAAAACAGAATATGTAAGACAACGTTAAAATTCGAAAAACAAATTTTCTCAATTGGCGTCGTGGTTCAGTTTCTCCAGATAACGCAGAATTTGGTCATTTCACGTTGTTGTTTTGTAGGGAACGGCAAAAAAATGTGCCAAGAATTATAACGCAAGTCCACAGCCATTGTACATACTGCTCCATTGTTTGGTGACGTCTCCGTTGCCGTTGTAGTTTACTCTAGACTCCCTAGTGACAATACGACGGAACAAAGGGTAAACTTACTTCCGGCGGAAGTGTACACTTCAACCGCGCAATTCTGCAACAGGAATCTTCGTGAAAATACGGCTTTTATCGCGTCCAAGGGCCATTTACCATGCAGGCAATCCATATACATCAGAACCTGAGGAGACAGGGTACAGATGAAGTGTAAATGAAAGCAATTCAATTTTCGTCTTCCGCTTTGTGTATTGAAGAAGGTCGTATTACAGCGAGAGCGTGTACCATATTGCAGTAATTTCCGTTCTACGCTCAGAAAGTTGAACAGTTTTGGTGATTACTAACTTTTTGACGTATAGGAAGTACGGAATGCAATTCAAAAGTGATAATGTAATTTAAAAAGCTTTCTGGTAAAGTACACACACATGTATTCTAGCGTGTTTTTAACAAAGAACTGCGCTAACCCTCATTTATTGGATTTGCCATGAGACGTTTACTAGAATTGCCACAAAATCCGCGTACAAATCTTCGTTTGCTACTGAGAACCTTGTTATGCCAGAATTGTTGACAAACATGAGCACAAACCCAGCTAGAAGTGCTGGGAAACACGAGTACAAATCTCTATTTTCTTCAACATCCTCTGCTAGAGGTCAGCAGAAACCATTGTTAGCAAGGCCCGCTGAAAAACGCGCACGCAAATACGAAATCCTTCATTTTGCAAGATTTGCTGGCAATAAACCTTACGCAGAAGCCTTAAGGCGCGCGCTTCATCTCGACTCCCAAGCTTTCATGTCAGAAGTAATATTTTGCAAGTTTTTGCTATCTTAAGCTTTTTTTAGGTACATCCATCCTACATAATTGATTCAGTTTGGAAATTAAAAGACACAGTTGAAATTGCTACGTCGGGCAAAAAAAACTCGTGAATAAAGGAGGGGGATAATGATCACCTAACGTGAAATTAAGAGAAAGTTAAAACAATATTAGAAGACCTCGGTTTGCTTGGAGCTCTAGTGACTCAGAACACTCAAATGCTGGAAATAAAACAATTTCATTCGCCCAGGCAACAACTATTAAATGAGCTTCACACAAGCTAAGACAAGAAACTTAACCCGATTAAAACTAAGCAACATCACCGCTATAAACCCATGGTGAGTTAAACCTGCTTATCGCATGTTTTATTGCCTTTCAACAGAAACGAACAAAGCCCTCATCAAAAACCCACTTCAAAGAATTTTCACCTCTTCAAATTTCTGGTGGTTTTATTGACACGATGTGAGGCTAAAAGTGGCCTGTTAAGTTGGTTTTCGTGAGCAAGTTGTCTTTGTTTAATTAAACCGCGTTTGGTCAATATTTACACAAGTTAAGAATTATTTTCTCTTCACCAAGACTTTATTTGACATCTGTCTACGGCTGGTGTATTTGCATGTTAAGACTGCGTCCTTTAATTGGGGAAGACTTCTCATTAAAGCGGCGGAAAATTAATATTCGCCCGCTCCACAAAAAACAAAACTATTTCAGTCGTCTTATTAACTCGAGTGGAAAAACACGTGTCTTTTGCGAGCAAGTCCACTGACGGCCAGTTCGTCATTTTTATGTACTGATCTTTTTTTTAGATTGTCATGTTCTCTTTTTTTAGGGGTTTTTTTTTCCGACGTCTTAACAACACTCCACTGTATTGAACCCTAAGCAGTATTGCGGACATAGGGCCAAAAACACGCTCAGAATATTTTTAACTGCGCAAAGGTCCTCAACAATAAAGAATAATCTGAACCAGTTTTCCGCTTTAGCCTCAGTTGCAATCAATACAAGAAACTCTAACCGAAGAGAACTTGAAGAAATATCACGCTACGTGAACAAGCCACACGAGAGAGGGTCATGAAAAGGACAACCAAGCAAATGACACTTCAGCTGATGAGACAAATACCTCTGCAAAATGACAAGAGGTTTGAAAGCATTTGAAAAATCTATAAACGAACTGCCTCGAATTTGATGTCACAGTTAACTCAAACCCGTGTCAAACCCGTGTCAAACTAATTTGCAGGTCATTTCTTGGATGCCTAGCTTTAGTGAACGTTAAACTAACATTTACTTCGAATCTCTTTCACGGGTGAATACTACAGATCGAAAATCATAACTTTACTCTGGTTTCTTTAGCACAGAAAGCGTTTACCCCCCCTTGATGGGATGCTATCGCAGGTCACTTCCCAGCCTTTATTTCAGGTTGCCCTAAACAATTCGTCGAAGCCAATTTGTACACCTGGGAGGGGACAGACACTGGGAGAGTAAGCTTACATAACTTTGTCAAGACCAAAGCCCGATGACCTCATCTAATGTTCTTTCGAGTGAGGCCTACTGTATACATGTTATCCATGCTCCATGCAAGCTTTCGCCGATCCACGGCATCATCAGAGATATAAAATATCCCTCCCCCCCAAAAAAACTATAGATAGTAGGAACAACTATATATAATAACTAAATACAGTAGTTTATGGCCTCAGTCGAGAGAACACTAAATTTTATAACGTGCTACTGAAGGACAACATTTAACGGTTACAATAACCTCAGCTAATGGGAAAAGGATGAAACGAAAACTATATAAAAATAGCTCCACATATCAGGATGAAGGCTGTCAGTTTAGCAATCAATGGCTCTTCGACCAATATTAAATCCATTCCAAGATTAAGACTTGCTAGCAATTAGAAAATAACACTCTAAAACGTACAAGGACAAATTTCATACTATCAACACAGCCATGTTCGATCCTGCAAGTTATATGGACAATACCAAAAGGGTTTAGGCCAGAATTATATCACTTTTGAGTCAGCATCGAGACTTGGACAGACTGAATCACTTAACAAGCTATGAAAACGTCGCAGAAAAACCTGAAGATAAAAGTCTACCGACAATAAGTACTAAAACCTCGCAACTGCATTTTCGCTTCGACGATAAAGTAAAATGTCGTGAAACATTAACACTAAGGTGTTGTTTAGAAACGAATTTTTGCCATTATAAAGCAAAACTGGAGAGATACACCTGCACGTCTAAAATTTTTGCCCCATTAACTAACTTGTTGCTACATTAGCCAACAGTCAAACGCGGATAGTATAGTTAAATTTATTTCGTTGACAAGTAACTGCTAGTTTTACTTAAAAAAATATTCATCAATGTCAAGAAAGCAAATTTTCACGCTTTCGATGCTTAACAAAAATTCCAAAGCAATAAGCAGTAAAAGATAACTTACAGTCGTCTTGCCGAAGATTCTATTCTGAGGAATGATTTTAAGAATATAAACTTTCAATCTAAAAATAAAAAGTGAAACTCTTGTCTTAGACGTAGACTACAACACCACTTGGCCATCTTGAAATTCGAGCTTATCTTTTAATAACGAAATTTTGTGGCTTGGCAGGTTCCCCTCCTTTCGCCTGCCTCAAACTCAGCGATATTTTTGCCATAAAATAGAACTATAGACCACCTAAAAACACGACGAGTTATAAATTATGAAGAAAAAAGATAACAAAAACAATGGAAACGAGCGAATGTTGCTCAAAAGCGGAAATATATAAATATATTTTTTTTATAGACGCCGTAGACTAAACTAAGACATCTGGTTTTCAATGCCTGGGACAAAAACAGTTCTTTATCTGCCTCCAAAAGGAAATTATATATATATATTCGCCAAATTTAAGATACTGGAAGCAACCCTTGACGCTTTGTCCAAGGTTAGACGTCTTAATTAATTGTTACACGCCTAGAAGCATTCCTTACAGCCTGATGTGTCAGAGGGTGTCAAAACTTGCAGGGTTCGTGGCGATATCACGCGCAATGCTCCAGGCCTGTTTAGCGGCGCTGTCCAGGGCCTGTTTAGGCTTACAGCTAAACAAGTCTACACTCTTGAGAAAGAAGTGCGGGCATTTACGACACTGTAGACAGGACACGAGCTGCAGAAGAATGCCGTTGATGCGATCAACGAGTGCCTCTTCGGTCCACTCTGTTTCCCTGGGATGTTTCTCGCACTCATAAAGGAGTAGCATAACCAGATGCACGTATTCCAAGGGTTTCCCCGGTAAGTCCAGGTGTTTATCGTACAAGGTTTTCAACATGCTAAGGCAGAGCCTTCGCCCGGCGCTAGCAAAGAGCATTTCTTCGGCATCGTTAAAGCTCAAAAGCCACGCATCACCCTCAGAACCAGCGCCCTTGACGCTGGGGTAGGGATCTCGGGCTAAAAGAGAAAACCCCCGCAGTTTAATTCCGGCTATCACCGGCTGTGCAGGCCAAAGGGTTTCGTGATTCGGCCAACAACATCCATTTTGAGGCCAAATAGAACCGCAGCGAAATGCCGGAATGAGCTCTACGGTATAACGTTCCAAGACTGTAAGCTTCGCTGAGAAATGATTATCTACGTTGATTCGAATTTGATTCTGAAGTTCTCCACGTCGAATGGCCTCTGCGACTAAAGATGTGAATCTTGAGCGAACTTTTCTGGCGGACAGATAGCCAGAAGCCGTTATAAACTCAGTCCAAAGAGACATGGATCGCTTACGCTCGTCACTTAGTTTCAACATGGCGCAGCCCGGTGGACAGGCCTCATCGATGAAATTAAAAACTCCCATCTGGTTCAGGTACAAATGAACTTCGAAGCTGCGAGGAGATAATGCCCGAACACCTCGGTATCTACCATCCACGAGCTTCAGAGACGAAATAAATCGTGGCTCGAGGGCTTCAACATGCTTCAACAGTTCTTGAATAACTGTACAAATGTTTGTTATGGTCTTATAAAGTTCGCTTTTTCGCCTGTGCACCCGCGTGCTCACGAACTTTTGTAAACTTCCTCGGCGTTCGGGAAAGACGAAAGCCATCCTGCAAACGCACGCGAGTCACAAATCAACACGCTTTCATCGAGACGGATGTGCTCAATGGCGAATTTTTTCCGGTATACAGTATTAACGCGCAACAGTTGGACCAATTGAAGCTGTCAGCGGCTATTAATCTCTGGAACAATGAGCCAGGCCGACTTTCCACCAATAAAACGCGAGAGGTCAACAGTTCTGAGTAAATTATTGGCCACGAAACAGAGAAAATTGAGGCTGCAACTGCCTCTTAACACGCTTCATTCTGTCTCACCCAAATGCAAACACTTCAAAGAAAATTCCCTACATTCTTTAAATGCATTCTTGGAAAAATACAAGCGACAAAAGTTGTCGGTGTGCTTTCAATTTTATCGGCTAAACCAAAGCCTTTTTGCATCCCTTTGGAATACGCCGAGCCGTTTGCGTTTCTTATTAAACTTTCTAAACACAGACCGCCTACTGGCTTCGTATTATTGCCTGAGATATTGAAACTTTCGGCAACTGTTCTCGCGTGGAAAAGTGTGGATTTGGTTCACCGCAACTTGAGATTACGAACTAAATGAAACGTCGAAAAGTATTTTCGACGATAGTACGTCGAAGATCTGTCATCTTGAAAAAAATTTACCGAATGCATATTTGAAGCCATTAAGGGTCATTTTTGCACGATTTTTATTGTTTATTACGGTTTTAATAACCCTACGTTTATTACGTTAAAAACAATTTGTCTGCGGCAAGCATGAAAAGCAATAAATCAAGAATAAACAACGGCGACAATAAAGAAAAGCAGAAAAAATATGACAACGACATCACCGAGGAAGAAGTTCATGCCGGCAAGTAAACTTATTACATCGCGCACGTTGGCGAGTTGTTAATTTAAGGTTTTGGACATTTCTTGAACTGTTTATCACAATTGGCTGTTAAAATTTTATTGCTGTCGCGAGAACCTGTGAAGTGCAATTTAATAATGAAAACCTAATAAACACATCAACAAGTATTTAGCAGCCCGACTGGAAAGTGTGTGTTTTCAAAAGCCGATAATGGCTGATCAACAAGAGGAGGAGAGGGAGCGCGTTTCAAGCTCCAACGTCAACAAAGTCGAGGTTACTTCATGGTCGAAATATTTCTGCCTTCGGGCCAAGGTAAAGTTCTTAACTCCAAAGTCAATTGTCCTTGTCCGACAGCGAAATGACTCTTTTGCGTGCAAAGCCTGCTGTAAACTGGAGTCACCCTGTCTACCTTCGCTTTTAGCAGAAATTTAAATCAGCATGGTACAACAGAACACTTTCACAGTAGCCTTAATGTCAAAATAAATTTGCGTCAGAGTTAATTGCGTTTAAATTTTCCTGCGGACAATTGTTTACAGCTTTGTGTGTAGTGTTGAGGCCCGGTTTTACCCGCTTTATAAACGAAGCTTTATTGATAAAGCTGCGTTTTCATGCGTACACCTGCTGGACCTCGTGAAATGTAGACAGGCGCATATTTCGCATCCATACAACTCCAAAGCGCAGAGTCCACACAGGAAAATAAAAAACAAAAATATGAAATTAATTCCGCTCATAACGGGTTAACTAGAGCGAATAATTGCTCTCTCTTTTGATAAAACATTCACTGAATATTATTTACTAGTGACGTTAACCCAAAAAGCCATTCAAAGGCCAGGAGTGACAGGTTGTCAATCGCAAGGCACGCCGACTGAAGTTGCCGCGTGTCGGCTTAGCATAATTAAACAAGGGTCAGCCATTATAGCGAAAAAACCGACCGAGCGGCTGGTGGTAAACAGCAATAAAATTAAATGAAAACTAGTTGTAGACCCAGAAAACAAGAACTGAAGCACGAAAGCAACTGAAACGACACAGTTGAACCGAGAGGAAATCATATACACATTTAGGGAACAGTTTTCATTCTTATAAAAATGTTTCAACTTCAGAGTGTGACACTCAAAGAAATTATAACTTGCGTTCCCTCTTATTAAAATGCAAAACTTGAATTGAAAACTGTTGCAGACAGGTAGACAATATGCCTCCTTTGTCATGTGGAGTGTTTTACTCTCTTCATACCAGCTTGGCTCTCAAGAAAGTACGCCCAAAATTTCACCAGAAATGGACTACAAGTCATTACGCGACAACTATAACACACTTTAAATTTAAACAAGAAAAGAGAACGGATAAAAAGAGAACGGATATCGTTTTAACATTCAAAATTATGTAGCCTGAAACATTACATCACCTATACTACTTCTAAATAACAGTTCAATATTCGCATATCAAATCATTTACAATCCGTTTTCCAAACTTTCATGAAAAACAAAAATACACATCAACAGTTTACCCTCTTTGATAAATTGCAACACATTCAGATAAGGAGCTTGCCTGGTCAACTGAGGAACGAAATAGGATGCAGGGTTATTTTTTTAATTACCAAATGCGGTACCATCAAAGAAGTGGAAGGAAAATGTTATGAACAGATTTGAAGAAAAAACTCAATCAATTTAGCCAAAGTTGATAACTCGTCAATGAAACTCGAGGGGGGCAATAATCGACCGAAGTAATTAAATTGTCCGCTCATAACTAAAAAACACGATTCAATATCCGTTATTTCCTTCCAGAGGGTGTAATAATTCCCGTATCCTGAAGAAATACTTCGTGAAAGAGTGGCAGAAAAAGCCCACCGGCGACAAAATCATGGCTACGAATATCCCGGAATTTCCGAGTCATTTTAAGAAGCAAAAAGTATACCTAGATAAACGGATTGCCAATGATAATGGCTGGGTTTTAATCAAAACTTCTCAACAAAGGACAGGAAATCGTTTCACGTAAGATAACTAACACTGGCTAGCATGAAAATGGATTGTAAAAAGAACAAGTTTGGGAATCGTAAAAGGACGCGTTTTCAAATTGTTTCAGCCAGCGGCCTCGTGGTTTCAAATGTTTCTCGCGTTTGGAAACCTGATGAAACCCTCGCACTCGTTTTTGAAATAGTACGTGAAAAATTGCTAACGTCTAATTGGTTCAGAGAGGACAATTTCTTTCGTCACTGTTCGTCATGGATAAATTTATTCCGAAGGTTCTCGAGAATCATCGGAAAACCCCGAAGATTACAAAGCTGATAATTTCCGAAGATGACCAGGAAAAAATTTCGAGATTACCAAGGTTTACCCAACAATTTCCAAAACTCTGATCCGGAAATATCTATTGTCGTTGACAGCCAGCTATGCTCGGTTGCCAACCGCTGTTCCGGAAAGGAGCCCGCACTCCTTCTCCGTAGTTTCACGTAGAGTGGACTCGAGAGAGCGGCGGAAATCGAGCTTAACAATCAACTCGCAAAATGCTTACCTTTGGATCCAGTTTCTGATATTCCGTATTTTCCTCGTCCACAGTGAAAAACAGTGCCTCGGAGGTCACGGTAAGAGTGCCTGGAGCGAGCACGCATGGTGCTATCAGATGGCAGGGGGCTGTGAACACCACGTGACCGGAAACATCCCGACCCAGGCTTCGATCTTCAACGATGATTTCGGCAATCTCTTCCTCGTTCAGCGAGTAAGAATCTTCGGCTTTTGCGGAGGAAATTGTGGCGAAGTTGAGATGTTGAGGGCCGGCTGCTAAGCTGAGGTCTTCTCCTGAAAGCACATGAAGAAAAATTAAAAGTGCAGTGAGAGTATGATTCATTTACTATTTCTCCTTATTGATTTGCACATGTTTTGTTTCATTCATGTTCTGAGAACTTGGTGGCACATCAAGACAATACCCCCAGCCGATGGTTTCCTTTATTCTCCTCTCTAACCTCCCTCAAATGTACTCACATAGTCTGGAGAAACTAGGTGTCAATCAGTCTTTGCTAGGGGAAGGAGGGTGTTTCCATAATTTACTGAATTTCCCTGCGTTATAAATAAAGAATATTTCCAAGGAAAGTGAAAGCGAACATAACAATAGTGCTCTTTTAGAACTAATCTATTTGATGAACTTCAAGAATAAAATATACTTCAGTTAAAAAATAAAATTAAGACAAAGCTTGTAGAATACTTTTTTTGTACGTTTTCTCATGTTTTATCCCTGAAAACGCGGGGCCTGAAGTCAGCGGGACACCATCTTTAAAGTTAGAGGATAGATAAAAGAAAAAAACAAGACTACAGTATATTTACCATACATACTGCACACTGAGTATAATAGACGTGGCCAGCACCCATGCAAATTAATTGGAACAGATGAAAGCTTTCATATAAGAATTCAACTCCCACAGAATTGATTTGGGACACCAACATGGCCACTGTTTGATTGTTTTGGGGCACCAATATGGTCGCCGTGACGTCACGCGAAAAAATTCTATAATCTTTACTGTTTCCCAAATTCGCAATCCACGGTCATTTAGTACGGGTTATTTATTGTTATTGATTTTATTTCACCGCTAACCTTCCAATCCTTCCAACAGCGTCGCTTCTGGATGACTTGAACCGTATTCATTCTTGGTGAAACGCATGCGCCGTCGACTGTCGTCTTCCCACATGTCTAGTCGATAAAACTGCACATTTGAAGGCTGTTGTTCCACTGCCCAAGCGCCATGTTCACTGGTAATTATATCAAGTACCTGGCAAAGAAAATTACCGCTGACATTCCTTGATGTACAAATCCTGGGCTCTAGGGACGTTTCTTATAGGCTACTGAAAAACTTATTCCGTAGAAACTACGAAACTCGTAATATTTCGGTCGCGAATTCTCCCTACGTTTCAGAAGAAGGATGTAAGTAGAATTTCGAGCATTATAATACTGCGGCAATCTGCGAAACAAGTTTCAAAACAATACGCTTTTTTATGTCTATGAGAGCTGTGCTCTTGCCACTAGATAACGATCTCCCACTTTGGGCAGTACACAACTGTCGAAGGTAAATTATGTACTATGTTTGGTTTTGCATTCGCTGAAATCCGATTTTCATAAAAAAAAAAAAAGGCGGGAAAATTGTTTTAACTAAACTGGGCAAACATGTTTGTGTGTCCCCAATCATGGGCAACGTTTTCCCGCGCCTTAAACTGTTTCGATGTTTTCCCGCGATCCGTGCTGGTTGTATATTCTCCCGAGCTTAGCGCTGGTTAAAAGTCTCGCGCCACTATGCACGGGTCGCAAGTGATAACTTCGACTTCTGACTGGGTAACTGCGTTACTGACGTTTGCTATGATTTCTCAGGTTTGATCATTTTGGTTTTTCTTCACCAAAGAGCAGGAAAATTATTTTATAAACCTTTTGAATGACGTTCCTGGCGACTGAGAAATCCCTCCTCTTCGTGGCGAGAAGCAACTGGTCTTGTAATTTGTCGTTCTCGTTGTACGTGGCCTCAGTCAAGCGGCAAAGCTCAACAAACTGCATGTGTTTCTGACGAGAGATCTCGTCAAGCTTGTTCACTATTACGAAGGCCTCGCTGGTTGTCATGACGATGCGTTCGCGCATGGCATGTGACAAAAGTCTTCCTTCGTTAACGAGCTCCATAAAAGCCATGCCCCCGTGTCTGTGGAAGATTGGGAACCAGTATGTTACTTTTGTATTATGGAAGTACCTATGACAGTGCGAGACATACCCATGGTTGCCACAGGGCATCACTTTTCAAAATTCCCTGAATTTCCCTGATAAAAATAGCATTTCCCTAACCAAATAAACACAAAACGTCAGATCTAGTAGCAACTTTTAGCGTGAACGTATAGCCGTTCTTTCTACTCGTTCATTGAGACGGATAAGTTTTCAACAAATTTTCCTTCTTCATTAAGAAAAAATATCGTTGAGATCACAGTGCCCCCAAATGTTTCTTCCAGCCTTCAATGGTACGAAATCAGCCGTGTTCAATTATTTCAATTTTCCCTGACTTTTCTTCAAAATGTCAATTTTTCCTGACTCAAAATAAAATTCCCTGACTTTTGCCTGACGTTGAAGAATTTTTTCCCTGACCATTTCCTGACCCGTGGCAACCCTGGTACTCACCTCTGCAAGGAGTTCTGCCATTCTTGTGAACACAACAGCATCACCATCTCTACAATAGAATCGGTCTTCTGACAAGAAAGGCCCTCCAACACCAGCTCCTGTCCGTGACTTCCAATAAGAACCCGGCTCAGAAAGGGGCTAAAGTCAAGCAGCACCTCCTTGAGAAGGGACCCAGACGACTTGAACCCAATCTCCAGTTTTTCTGATAAGCTCAAACGGCTGAAATCTACAGAGCTCTTCAGGAAACTGGGTATGGACAGTTCCTCGTCCCAGGAAAATACATCGTCTTCAACTTCTGCAGAGGCACTCCGCTGACCACCCCAACTTGCTGCTCGAGATCGGTTATCAGACAAACCTTGAACTTCGCCTTCTGACATAGCACGAACTAAGAAAAAAACGTTTCTGTTGTAACAATATTATTTGAAAACGCTTTTCTATTAGCTTATTTGTACCAGCTCGAGACAATTATCTTCATCCTGTAGGAAACCTCCCAACAATCGTGCTTGAAGAGTGGTTACTACTCGCAAAGCAGTTCAGTTCTTGAAATCCAATCTGTTTGGCATTCAAAAGCATATTGAACGTTTTAAAGTCTATGTCAAGAGACTGTTTTGTATTATCTACATCAACTCTATTATCCAAAACTACACAAGCGCAGAGTCCTACTAGAGGTGCTAACATTTAGTTTCAGCAGTAATAGATCTACTATCTCAACACCACGATTGCTCTTCTATTTCTGTAAAGTATATCTTACTTTATACCATGCCATAGAAAATACAGCCTATCAGAACACAGGAAAGCCGTTGTACATTCGACGGTATTACACCCAACCTTCCCATCATGCGCCGCGCGCATGTCTCATTGATTGTGTTGTCCACTGTATTTTCTATGGCATGGTATAAAATAGTTATGCAACGTTCTCTCGTGGTATACCGTGGAATATCTCACTTGTCATTTGTATTTTCTTAGTATACACACTCACCTAAAGGCTTGTGTATATACCGACAAGATACGAGTGACTCTTGGGATATTGCACGGTATACCACGAGAGAGCGTTGCATAACTTTATCGTAACTATATCATCGTATATACATGTAATGGACGAGGAATTCGCCATTCCCCGCCGCGAAAACAAGAAGGCCTGATCGCAGGCTTTCTACCACGCCAACACTCACCAATTCGTCTCGCTCACTCGCTGCTCTCCCCTCCCACCCCTTCTTCAAGCACGCTCTCACGCACGCAAGTTAGCTAACTCACTCGCTCGTTCAAGATACGTACCTGGACTAGGCACTGTGTGAAATCTCGCCCGCGCATCGGAGTCCTCAGACTTGAGCAGATCCCTGTACTTAGCGACCATCATAACAGCAATAAAGTACACCACAGTCAAGGCCAAGAACTGCGCCTGTCTACTGTCTTCAAAGTCACGGTACACTACAGCGCGCAGCCGGTTCACATCCATCTCCTGAAGCAACTTCTCCGGGTCAGTCACTGTGGTCATGTGACCAGGAATGTTCTGGACAAGATCCTGAAACAGACAAGCGGAATTCCTAAACCCGTGAGGATCGTGAGGCCTAATTGTTTCTGTGTTAGACTCGGCACTCCGCATGGACCTTTCCAAGTTCATGGCCTGGCCTGGAAGAATCTACTGTAGTCTTGGACGGGAAACTTCACTCGCACAGTGCCTCTCGTCATCCAGGAATGTTCGTTGACTAAATTACACTTTTCCTGAACCGAACCATACGAGACACAAAACAATATCTTCAGTCGTAACAAACAACAATCTCCTTACCGTATTAACAGAGGAAGGCGGCCGAGCTGGGTCATTATCAGAGAAATTCTTAAGGCAGACAATTTACCAGGCATTAGGTTAGTTGGAGAGCAGCGCAAAAAACGTAGGCAGAAAACATATTTTCTCGCCGGTTTTTGCCACCCCTGGAACAGGTTTTCCTTGAGGGCTAATTCTTAAAATTTAGTGGCAACCACTGAATTCCAAATAATGTTCCTTCGTTGATATTTTCTGTCATTCTCACCACAAAAATTTTGTTAATGCATAATAAATTGTAAGGAGAAACTAGTATTAATCACTCTTGGGCTGTCCTACCTGTTCGCTGGGCGGCTTTGTAGACGCTATAAGTGTCTTGATGGCTTGCCTGGCTTCCTTCAATGCTTTCTTTCCCAGTTTCCCACTTGTTATCAGCGGTAAAATAGGCCTGTTACGCTGTCGGCACACTAGGCGGTTACGGGCTGCGCAACAGAACACTACACAACCAAAAACAAAACAAAAAGAACGACAGAAATTCGTTTACTAAATCACAAAAATACCGCAAGAAATCATTCAGCGTTTATGTTAGTACCCTTAATGCCGGTATCTTATGATGAGTAAATTCACAGGAAAAGAACGGTTTTTACAAAATAAACACAAATCCAGCTGCCAAGGCAGTTACTGGAATGGTAAACTGATCAAAATACGATCAAGTAGTGTACAGTGTGTTCCAGCCCACAATGTCTGGAGTGAAGAGCAGTCTTCAAAAAAGCGGCCTATCAGGAAGCGAGCGGAAAGAGTTGATATGCGTAAATAACGGCCCACGAACCACTTGAGCCGACTCTTTTTAACTAGCCGCAATGGACGAATTTTTGGACATATATCTTTCTGTATGTCCATCTGTCCATCGATCTGTCTGTCTGTCTGTCCGTCCGTTTGTCCGTCCGTCTGTGTGTCTGTTCTTTCACCTCCGCTGTGTTTGCCTGTTTTATCCACGTTCGACTCACCTAATCTCAGACACTGCCTCAAGAAGCCACCCGTACTCATATTCCTATTGGTCTCCACGCCACTGAACGCGAGGGAACTGGTGAAAACTATGACATCCACGAGAGACATCAGGCGATTCAGGAAGGAGAAACTCGTTTCCAGGGTCATCCCACCACACGGCTCGATGACATCTTGACCGTAATCACGTGACGTGACGGAGGACAGCAGGGGCAGGAGATCCCCGCAGCAGAAAATGACATTATCTGCCAACACTGATACAAAATGTGCCAGGTTCCACAGGTAAGTTCCATTGTCCTTTGCATTGACGAAATCCATGACAGTTTTGCGATTATGGCTGGGTTGAAAATGAAGGTAAAGAAAACGATGCTGAAACTGTGATCTCGCTAGCGTGTCGTCATGATCTCATCATGGCACTTAACAACATCTTTGCTAACATCGTCAAATATTCTATTTTCTACAACAGCATATAAACGAGGCGAAGGGGTTAATACAGAGGAGAATTGACCCTGCCACCTCTTTGCATGCTACACGCTGATAACTGCAGTAACAGCAGTTCTCCGCAGTTCATATATATGATCTTTCCTATATTCACTCGTATACAAACACAGTATGTACCCATTTTACAAACTATTTAGTACAAAATAACCTGGAAGAAACACAAAATTGCACGTTTTAGTCAACTCACCTCCTCCAAACCTGCACGTCAGACTCGATAGCAAACAGCAGATCTCCCAACAATCTTTGATGAATCGGCGACCACAAGTACTCCGGAATATTCACGTACGCTCTGTAAGTTGATTTTGAGTCGCCGTCACTTGTGCCTGCGGTTGCGGCAGAAGAGGGAGAGGCTGGGCTCCACTCAGCCCCAGACTGCGAGGCGTTGCTCGGCGAGCCAGGCTGAATGGGTTTGTCATCTGCGCTAGTACGAAATGATTCTCCGTTTGGTTGATTTTCAAGGCGGTTTTCTTCGGATTGTGCCGAGCTTTTATCTTCGTTTTTAGCAACACTTTCCGAAGGATCGACGCTCTCTTCCCGACTACAAATCGAAGATTGCGCATCCTCGTTTGCTTCACACGGCGCTCCTATATAAGAACTTTTCAAAGCAATTGTAAGACTATTGTCAACATCTTTGGGTTTGTCTTTCTCATTAAGTAAGTCTTCACCTGCTTTAAAACTGGCCTGATTTTCAGTTGCTTGCTCGGGTAGTGTTGAATCGTTTGTTGTTTGTTTGTTTTCAGGGGTTTCGCCATTTATCTTTTCACTAGAGGACAAATTTTCCACGTTTTCTTTATTTCCATTTTCAGGTGGCATTTCGGCTGGTTGTCCATCAACCAAGTTGTCACTGTTCTCTGATTGATCAGTCTCTGCTAACTTAGTTTCAGTGGAAGACAGAGTTGCTGAATTTATCTTTTCATCTGTCTCCGTTTCAACCTTAACGTCATTTTCAGAAATATTCGATACTTCGATTTGATGTTCACTGGAGTCAGAATTAGGCTCTTTGTCGGGTAAATCAGCCTTTTGGTCCATCGATTGCACAGCTACCTCAGCCCCTCTGACGTCGGACCTAACACCAGTAGCGCTGAGAGAGTCTTCCACCTTGGAGGACCTTTCTTCGGCATGCTCCAGCTTTTCATCTTCATTCCCATTACATTCGCGATGAATGACGTCTACCCTAACACTAGTTTCCACAGCAGTAGTGGAGTCCTCGCTGCTGGCTGGTATTTCCCCACGGGTGGGGGAGTTAGGGGAGTTAGCCTCACTTTCACTTTCCTCAGGGATGGTGTTAGGAACAGTTGCTTCTACTTTAGGCCCATTTTTATTTTGCAGTAACGACTGGAAAAATTTCCTTCTGTCTATATCACTACTTGCTGACTTTGCTGCAGGAGATTTCTTGTCAGAATTAGGCTGAGTTTGAACTCCGGACTTAGCTTGTTCTTGGTTAGTTTTTTCATCTTCAGAACTTAGTTCAACTTGTTTAGGATGGCTCTTCTCTTTTTCTTTTTCATATGCACTCACCTAAACATGAAACTTTGTCAATGATTGTTCCACACACAAAAATAATAGGGGACTTTAGATTTGAGTACGAGTACCAGGTCGAGTGCCAGTATGACTTTTGAATTCTAGGTTTGCAGTCTTCACATTATCACATCACATACCCATCTCATCCCATGAGCTACCCTCTCTACCTAAAACCAACATGAAGAGCGAGGGCTCTGGCAACGCCACTGCTTTGAAATTCGAAAACTGTACTCGTAAGGTGTCTATTACAAGGGATTGCTCAGCCGCACAGCACTGGAGTTGGACAAATGCCATTCTTAAACTCATTAACAATTCATCAAGTTAAAACAAAGAAAATCACAACCGTGGTCTTAATAAGCATAGATTTTGACGATTTTACTTTTCCGTTTACTCCTTAGTTTTTGCTTCGATCGAGACGATATGTCAAACACTCGAAACAGTGTTTCATCGACCATCCAAACACCTTGAATTTCGTCGAAGATACTCCGCTCTGCGTCGTATTTTCAACTCTCTTCTCGGTGTTTGGATATCCCGATGAAACACTGTCTCTCGTGTTTGATGTGTTACATAAGAAATAGCGGAAAAATAAGAAAATATTCCCTTGTCTACCCCAAACACGAGACTACTCACTTTTACTATACGACATTTTTTCAAAAAAACAAAAAACAAAAAAAGAAAAGAACCTCCATCGAAAGAAGTGTAGCGAGCCAACTGAACTTTGTACCTTACCTTGCCGTGCAGAATCGCCAAAGTGTCGACCCAGATCCTCCAGCCTTCTCGTTCTTCCTGGAAGGCGTGGTGCAGCAGCATGCGAAACAGGCAAAACACAGTATCTGTGGTGCGGGTTTCCTCTAAAATGATCAAAGAAAGTAACCGTACAGTCAGATACAGGATTTTTTTGTATGCTGTTAAAATCGTTCAGGCACTTTCCATGTAAGTGATATTCATTGTTTTTCAAGATTTTCGCGCCAGCGAAACCAGCTTCCCATTGAAGAAAGCCACTCTACATTCAGAGAGGAAACGAGACTAAAGTGTACTTTTTTATAAAAAATAACTTTAATTGTATCCACGACTTTCGGTTTTCTGTCGTTCTGCGTTGTAACGCGATAGATAGAAACACAGAAAATCTGTCTCAGGAGTCACCGGAGCAAACTCCAACAAGGTCACGTTTTCTTTCATTTCCTCATTCTGGCCAGAGCTAACACTCACCAATAGCGTTTGATTTAACAGTTACATAACTTGGAACTAGAACCCCATTCATCCAAAACAAAACAATGACCATATGACCACGAGTTACGTTCTATGGCATGGACTGTTCATACCTGCGTTTGATGGTTCCACGTGAGCCAGTGAGAAAAGCCAGTCTTGCCAACAGGACAACTGCAGGATAAGACTGTGCGACACAACATAAAATGTTTCAATCAATACGAAATAATCATTTCAGAAACAAATCCCTCGTATTACATCAGCTTATTCCAACAGTTCACTTATACCCATTTATACGCCTACGTGTAGGTGGAGAGAGGCACTGTGAGAGTATAACGTTTTGTCTTGACACAGAATACGAAATCTGGCAGCAACAAATAAAAACTGGGCGACCGATAAGTAACAATTAGAAACTCTGAAAAAATTTCACTTCCAAAACTCAATTTTACAGTAATTGTCTCCATCGTTATGAGTATTTTTTTACTTTTAAATTTGAGACCAATACTTGTATTTAAAAACAGCAGTGAGTTTTGGCGGGAATTTTCCACGCGCCCGCATCCGTTAGAGCACTGTGTGACATAGAGGAGTAGGGTAAGGTGTTTATTGCGCTCTATCTTACCTTCTGTTTATTTTGTTATGATTAAGAAGCAGTACAAGATCAGAAAGAAATTTTCGCTTGAGATCAATCTTCTCTTCGTCTGGGGTTCGTTCTTCTCTGAAGCTTCCCTGTCGCGTTAGCTTCACTCCTGCGTTGCAATGTTTCCCTTCATTCTTTTGAAGCATTTTAGCAATGACCGGCGCCATGGCTGAAGAAAAACAAATCAGATAAACGATGTGACTAGGCAAGCCATGTGAGATAACACCTTATAAGTTTCTTTACTATCATTTTACTGCAGCTCAGTAGCCATGTGAGCGATGTTAACGCATTTTAAGCTTTAGAGGCAGTATGGCCGAGTGGTTAGGGCGCCAGACTTGAAAACCGGAGGTTGCAGGTTCATGTACCGCTCTGACCACCAAGCTGGAGTTGTTTCTCGGTAGACCCAGGTTCAACTCCTTGGTCATGCTTGTAGATAGCCAACTGGTCTGCCTCCCGCCGGTTGGGACTTTTAAGCCTATTATGTTTAGTTGAAATATTTGTTTCTTTCAGTTAAAGTGGCAGGCTAGAGAACTAGCTAGGTGTAGCTAAGCGCATTGTCTACTATAAACAACAACATTTGAACATTTTTTTTTTCTTTTTGAAGCCTCTTTACTACTGTTCGTGGCAACTCACTTGTATTGTGTAAGAGAAAGCTGTTGTCCGGCTGTGGGTGGTGTCCGCTGACTACCTGTTTGGAGACTCGACTAACCAAGATCTGAATATAAACAATACATGGCGAAGGTTAAGCAAGTGACTCCATTTGTTCCACTTTGGTTAGTAATATAATTAGAGAACGAGCTCGAAATTTCTATCGCGCGATAGCTGACGAGGGCGCAGCCCGAGTCAACTATCACGCATAGAAATCGAGAGCGAATAATCTAATTGTTTTAGTATAAATCTACTAGTCGTTCAAGCAAATTATCCAAATCCTCTTTACAAACACTTAGACGACGCAAAGTTGTTAACAACTGCACACTGCTAGGTTACTCGCTCCCTACAGCAGAACAGATAGTGAGTAGTGTAGCCAATAAGAGAACGGCATTCGTGATAGAACCCCTGGTGGATTTATACTAAAGTAATTTATACAACACTTAGGACACTCTAAAATGTTTCGGGAAACAAAACTGCAACTAGACATAAGGGGCATCACGCTGATGACTTCACGCAACGCTTGTTACAACCTACAACAATGTTGCGTGACTCGGGGTTTTCTCTACTTCTTACCTGACAACTACAGTGCCGCTCAGAAAGTAGCAAACAAAAATTCGGATAATAACGTGATAGAAACCGCGTTTTGTTATGAACGAGCACACGTGTTCAGGTGCTTAAAGTAAGTTTTGAAAGCTAAAGCATTAGTATTGTACTATTTGAATGGAGCGCAAACAGCTCGAGTCTCCACAGAATTTGAGAATGAAAGTGAAGAACAAACCTCAAACAAAACATTGTATGTGGTGAGCGTCAGAGAGTGCTTCATGAGCTTGTCACCAACCAACGAGAACAGACTGTAATGCTCCAGTAAGTCTTGTTTTCTCCTGAAAGAAATCGAGTCAGGTCATTGAAAACAAAAACAACGAAAACATTTTAAGACGTAAAGTCAGGCAAGAGATTGAAGAATTGGCGGAAATCTCATCACCTATGTGCTTTAAATCGTATCGATTTTATAAGGAGACATTAGGAAGGAATCCACCAGAAGTTCGAGTAACAAGCAAACAAAAACTTTGTACCGAGATTATTTACATTGTATTGCAAAATTTTGTGCGACTGTTTTAAATATCTTCTCAAAAGAAATCATTTCTAACAACATCAAATGCCGAAAACAAATTTTGAAGTTCATATGAAACACTTGAGAGTACCGTGGCGAAATCAAACTGATGATGATATTTTACCTGTTTTAGCACAATTTCTCTGAACTTTGACATTTATTTTCTCGAGCTCCCATGGGAAATTGTCTTTGATGCTATCGCAGGAAACTGTTTATATCTTTAGCCTTTAAAAAATACAAAAAGGGCTACAGTATACTTAAAGTTACTTTGGTACAAGGTTTTCGTCCATTAAAAACTGAAATTTCTCAATTTCCTATCGGCTTTCGTCTTAAATCTTGATCAGTCTCACTATAGACTTACTTAGCAGGGCAATACTGAAGAAAACATCCAATGATCTTTAAAGAATACACACGAACCGCTTCAGCTTTCATGTCCAGGAAGCGAAACAAAACCCTGCAAAGAAGAAACCAGTTAGCCATCCACATCACCATGACGACAAGCCTCTATCAAAATGATTGACAGGTAGTATCAGTCGTATGGCTTACCTCAGACCATCAACTTTGTCAAAGATAGGAATACAAGTGTCCGGCTGCTCTGTCATGATTGACAGCACCAGTTGAAGCACATCCAGTAGATTCTCCTCCTGTTGCCGGGGGAAACAATTATAAGAGATGCTAAAGGAGCTGGGTCACGGTATTGTTAGTTATTTTGGCCAGGTACTAAATTACCTTTAAATTGCAGGCAACTTGAAAATAATAGTTTTCTAAGATAGCAAAACACTAAGGAAATAATAATAAACCATAAAGAAACAATGATGGTTAAGGATGGAGAAGATTGATACGGATTACAAACGACGAACTTGAAAAATTTAGGCTTGACTTTTCAAGATGCGGAAACCGTGACGTAGCTGCTTTAACACTGATACCGTCTATGCAGAGACCATACAAATTCTCTGACCTTTCCTCATCTTTTTGTCCGAAATATTTTTTCATTGACCATAATCAGACGAATCAAATGTAATGTAGCCAATTTGCATTTTACATTTGCTCTTATGATAATGTGAGGGTCGCTATCAACGATGGTCGTTATTGTTATTAACAAGAATCATTGTCATGTGTAAAGGAAACTGGCGGCATCTCATTAAACTTCGCTTCAGTTCGATGGGTTTAATATTGCCATTATTTATCGAAATAATCTCACCTCATTTGTTATCATAAGATAGGACAGAATACTTTTGAATTCGTCCTCTGTAATGCCTTTTTCCTATGATCAGCAAAAACATAGATAAAAGCAATGAACGTAGAGTTTCAAGACACATGGTTAAGTTGTGACAAAAAACAAGATGCTGTGTTGAATTAGAGCAAAATGTACATGTATAGTGCAGGGTTCAATGTTTTTGCTTTTCAAGACGCTTCTCTTTTGGAACCTCTAGGTCGCTCCCTTGTCTTGTAGGGCGTGGGGGTGGGGGTGGGGAATGGTTGAGCCACTGACCGAGCAGGCGAACGATCGTTGGCATCATCGTATTGAGTGCGTTACAAAAGACAACTGAAGGCTCTGAACCAAACTGATTGTAACAACTGATTCTGTGCGCAACTTACCTTTAAAACTAGTTGTTTTACCAAAAGAAGTAAAAATGCCCTTAGAGAGAGGATTTCTTCCTTAGTTGACATTCGCCTGTCTGCAAACAAGGACGTCAGAATATAAGTATCGTTATAAAATAGACCTTTTCACGGTTCAGAAACAGCACAAATGCCCAAATTGCTCGCATATATGCTGGATTATATCGTAATGCAAATGAGAAAAGTTAGCCGTGAAAAGGTCTACTGAAAGCTCTGTACACCACATACTTCAAATACGATAATGGCAGCGAAAAGCATAAGGATTGCTTTACACCTAGAAACACAATCAGAGTCTGCATCAGAGACAGAAGGAGCTCATAATGCTCCAACTAATCACCAGTGTTCTGATTCCATACTCTTCCGACTGTTATTTGTATTGACCTTAAGAACACTTAGTAGGAGGCGCAATGGCCTAATGATCAGTGCGCTCGACTCCCGATCAAACGATCCTAGTTCGAGCCCTGACTGGGGACATTCTCTTGTGTTCTTGGGCAAGACACTTTACTCTCACAGTGCCTCTCTCCACCCAGGTGTATAACTGGGAACCGGCGAATTTCATGCTGGGGGTAACCCTTCGATGGACTAGCATTCCATCCACGGGGGAGTAGAAATACTCCTAGTCGCTTCATAATACAGAAACCGGGATAAGCTCAGGCCTGATGGGCCACTGGGCTTGACAATAGACTTTACCTAAGGACACTTAACTTACTCTACACAACAATAACGACCTGCAGTGCTAGCGATTTCAAGACATCTCTAGACACATGGGCGAGGTGCGCTTAAAATGAAAGGGCCAAATAAATTGCTGAGCTCAATAATCATCACAGTTGGACACAATCAAATCAGGTTTGCCCTGGGCCAAACTTGAATACCATATCGTACAAAGAACAATGCCTCGTAAATGGCCTTTTGGCTTTTCGTTATCACTTCATCAACGGTAGCAATCACAGCATGACCTGTAGTTCCTAGGGATTAGCTGTTACAAGTACAGCAGTTGTTGCATTCAGAACCCTCACCTTGCTGCAATTCAGTGGCATCGTGAAGCCAGTAAAATGTTTTGAGCATGTGCATAAGTCTGCTGACCCCAACATCATGGCGCAGGTGAGCAGCGCAGCCTGTGCCAGTGGCCAGGTCTGTGGCGAACACACTGAATAACTGAAGTTGAACCTGCAAAAAAAAAAAAGGAGCTGACATCAACGCAATGCACGTGTATTACTCCCAGGGAAGGTCCAACGTGAAAGTTAGAGTGCTCAGGAAGAAAGGTCATTATTTTTAGCCGTCAAGATATCTTTTAGGATTTTATGCGAGGAAATAATAAATTAACGTTGTCATGTCCATTTTAACTTGGTATCTTTAAGGGATAAAATAATGCTCGAGCCACACCCAGATCGATCTACTTTAAGCATTTAATTCAAAAGTTACAATGAGCATCCCCGACCTTTTCACGCGGGAGTCCCTTCCGGGGTATAACTACTGACTAACCAAAGTAAACAGCCGTTTCTCTTAATGCGACAAGGCTGACGAAAGAAATCAGTGCAGTCTCTCTGATTGAACGTTGCTCAGTTTTCGTGCAGTCTTGCACAAAATAACAATCAGTCCAAGACACTTGATTGAGTTTGACTGAGCTTGTTGTTGGTTCTCGTCCTTGCTCTGAGTGTTTTTCTCCGGGTTTTTGCCAGTTTTCTTCCCTCCACCAAAAGCAACACTCCACATGTTAATTCGGTCTTGATTGATGTACGAACACTTCATAATGACTGGGTTCATCAGAGCTCTTCGGTGCTTCGTGTGTGAGTAAATAATTTTTTTTTAACCCTTACTTCATGAATCTCTCTAGTGACATCATTCATCATTAAAGATTTTTGCAGGATGCGTCCCTCACTCAAGGGAGATGAACGCAGCGTGAAAAAAACAAAATGTCTTTTTACTCCTGGCCAACTATTGTGTGCAGAACGTTTCTCAGAAGACAACACAATGTAAGAAAATCTGGGAATAGCAGGAATCAAGACGAAGATTGGAAGCAACAAAGCTCGATCTCCACAAGAAACCTTCTCAAATGACCCTTCTTTCATGCAAGCTAATTAATTAATAGTGAACAGATATATCCATTACCTTTGGCGAGGCTTTAACCCACAAGTTTGGATTAAACAGAATGTGGTCTAGAAGACTTCCTAGCAGGGCTCCAGATCCAGTCGATTTTAAAAGATGTCTGTGGGAAGAAAAAAGAAAACATTTCTTCAGAATACATGCATCTACAATGTGGTTGGCCTAATATATCAAACACGAGAGACAGTGTTTCATCGGGATATCCAAACACCGAGACGAGAGTGGAGAATACGACGCGCAGAGGAGTATTTTTGAAGCAATTCGAGGTGTTTGGATAGCCGATGAAACACTGTCTCTCGTGTTTGATATATCTTCTCAATCGAAACAAAAACTAAGGAGTAAACGGAGAAGTAAAATCGTCAAAATCTATGCCAATTAAGACCGGGTATCCAAACCTCCTTCACGGTTGTGATTTTCCTTATTTTACTAATGAATTATTACTGAGTTTGAGAAAGTTGCGCCCAAAGCTTACAACCGGAATGCAGGATTATGAACTGCTTAATCAAATGCAGATTGAATTAAGGGCTACTGTTACATTACTCGATATAAATGTTATGCAAACCTTGCTAGGAAAAGTAAAATATTCAACGCATCCTCTGTCAGATGAGTGGAGACAGCCTGGAAGAAAAAAAGAATGTGAATTGTACAAAACACAAGAATTACAATTCAGACTTGTCTACTTGCTGACAGAATAGAATGGCGCTCACATTTCCCACAAACAGGGAAATCGGTTCTTGATTTTTGGCTTAACGCTACCTAAAATGTAGGTTTTAGTCGGCTGTCCTTCAGAGAGGTTTACAGTTGGATTTCGAAAGCATTATTAGTGTTTGCTTTGATTTTGGATTACTACGGTAAGTGATAAGCTTAACAAAAAACGCGCGTTTCTTTGTCATCCAATCCGAAGTAAAACCAAAACCAATCGTGACTCGCTCAGACAAGTTTTCCCGCGCTTTGGCTTTGTGTCCACTACATGTAGTTACTTTGAGTTTTGATTGGTTCACTGTATTGTCTGTGTCCTTTGTGATTGGCTAGAGTGATTACATTGGTTTTGGTTTTATGACACTGTATTGAAAACTGCTCCATAGTGCCTGCTGAAATTATCACGCTACTCAACTACGCCTCATTGACTTTAAGTCAAAGAAAACTCGGGCTAAAAGACAATCAAATAGTGGAATAAAACAAAAAAAAAAAAGATATCAGTTTGTAACTGTCCTGTTGTACCATTTCTAAAACATGACTGATGACAAGAAAGCCTTGGCATTGAATCATCTGTTGCTGACTTGTACAGGAACTCCTCAGCAGATCGGACAGAAGTGACAAAAGAACAGTACTGCAAAAATAACACAGCAATCAATTCTATTTCTTCCTGTCATTCATTAATTGAAAAGAGTCGCAAGTTTCCATTTAAAACCCTTAAGCCTAAGCTCCTTCTCTTTCTCACATTCCAGAAAAACAAAACAAAAAAAAAAAACAGAATATGGTAAGTGCTAGATGTACGTGTACATAACAGATGGCAATGAAATGTGACCATTGAGATTTACACCCCTAAGCGAGACACTATCATCCCAAAACTTTTCTGACAGGATCTCACTCTGGCACAGAGATAACACACTACATGTAAGTGTTCAACGAGGTAATTTCCTCACCATAAATTTGCTACTTCAGGAACTTCACTAGTCTCTTCAGTTCCTTCTTGCGGGAAATCTACCTGACCAAACAGTGGCAGCAGCATCTAATGAAAGTGAAGCGACACATTACACAGCGTCACGTTATAATAATAATTATCAGAATAATTTCACTAATGAAAACTGCAAAATGCACTGAATTCCACTTCACTTCACATAAAACAAGGACTCACTTGAATTCCTCCCAATGAGTGCAGAATACTCTGAAGAGAATGTGTGACAACAGACTGCACTCCCTGAAAAATAACAACAAGTGTGATTAATAACTACTCATCTGTTAGATGTCATTATCTTTGATCTTTAATCTCTAATACAAATTCCAAATTACATTACATTGAACAAGTCAATCCAATGAATTTGAGGACAGCTTAAAACAGAATACAATTGTGCAGCAAACTTGTCCCACATGCAAGTGTGCCATTATTCTAATTTTTGTAGCCCTCCTGAGGTAAGCTGTTTTCTTACATTGTTTATGTCTGGTTCAAACTATTATTAATACCTATAAGTATATGGAGTTTTTAGGCCCCGTCCACACTACACTGGAGAAATCTGAAAACGCAACAATCATCAGTTGTTTTGGTTTCATGTTTGATGAAAACTCGGGCTGGGAAATCACTAGCCTTGATAACCAGCTGCTGTTTGGGAAAGGAGCCTGCACTCTCCTTCTCCAGGAGGGACGTAGACCAGACACGAGAGAGCGGCAGAAATCAAGCCTAGGAAATCACCTGATTATCACACTGTCATCATTTTCAAAAAGCTCTGTTTTGTTTTCCATTCACACTAAAACGCAAAGCTAGTATTTTCAAATTCCTCCAGTTTGAAGAGCATTTTCGAAAAGCTCTGTTTTTGTGATGGATTAGGGTGGGTGGTAGGACTAACTGTATATTCACGCTAATCTGTTATGTAGTAGATGCCGATTTTCACTAACAGCAGGCAGGTGTTATTGACCAGCATATTTCCAAACTCACCTCTAACATAAGAGCATGTGGTGAATGGCAAAAGAATGATGGATTCTCAGTGGGCGAGGCTTCAAGGCATAACTGCTGGTCACAGGCTTTAGGACTGTACATGAACATGATGACAGCCGACAAGTGACCTTCATACAAAACCTGACAGACAGGACTCAGGTTGATCAGATGTTATTCAATTTAGACATAAATTATTTGATAATGCGCACTCTCTGTGAGGTAATACAATCGCTTGCATCTAAGCGTGAACATTTGAAGTTAAGCACACTGTAACGTGAACTTTCAGGCTCAAAATGTTCACCACCAACAAATGCGAGCGAAACTTCAAACCAGGAGTGCCTCTGAGTACAGACTTATGAAGCCATAGAAATGGCTGCTGAAGAAGTCTCCCATGTCCAATCTTTCTGTCATTTCGTGTACTGAACCGGGGGGGGGGG